CTAATGTTTTTTTCCATCAGATTTGATCTCGTCTTCATCACTGAGCTCTGATCCTCACATATGAAACAGCATTTTGTGGTAGTTCGGCCGAGGAGCAGGAGCAAGGTTCAACTCTTTTATACATGTTAAAATATATGAACACACTAGTTTCACAGCAGTAAGATGGATTCTTATAGTTTCACATAATATATCATTTTATTCTTTAGTTAAAAACAAACACACGCTGGCCAGCTGAGAGGACGTGTGGAAAACTCCTTGATAAAATGCATGTTAAAAAAAACAACAACTTCACAATGTTTTCCTCTGAACTACTGAAGTGGCATAATTAATCATTTTGGTGGCGTATATGTAAGTTCATCATGGTTTATGTTATGGAAGATGAAGCTGAACACACTTCACTTCTGTTTACGTTCAATAATGTTCTCAAACACAACGGAGCTAGCTCGCCTTTTAGCCTCATTGTAGCCTGTAGCTCTAACTGCCTCTCTGGGCACCGCGTTCATGTGTGCGCGCTTGCTTTCGCTGGTCTCACGCTGGCTGGTTGGTGCAGCCTGGACCACAATGTGTGTGTTGCCATGTGCGGAGCCTGGGCTGCCTACAGAGACCGGACTTTTTCACAGCATATTCTGAGGACATGTAGCTAGCGGATCGTGAGGAGATGTTTGCTGTACGTGACAAAAACTTTTCAAGCTTAGGAAGACTTAGAGAGCCTTTAATACAAATGTGCAGTAAAGAAATTAAAAATGAAAAAAAATTCAAAGATCATGATGAGAAATTAAAAACACAGGATCAGGATCTGTTCTAGTTTACACACACACACACACACACACACACACACACATTCTTCTTCACTGTCTGAACCTGGTGCCTACATTACCCATAGTGCAACTGGGCCATCTTGAGTTTCTCAGATTCCTGCCTTTAACAGCCAGAGTTCAATCCCAATCCTCCCTCCTCCTCCTCCTCCTCCTCCTCCTCCTCCTCCTCCTCAGTGTGTGGGGCAACAGAGCTGCAGGACTCTCAGCTACTGACAGATCGGCTGTTCCTCCTCCTCCTCCTCCTCCTCCTCCTCCTCCTCCTCCTCCTCTTGCTCAGTGTGGGGCAGCAGAGAGGACTGGCAGCTACTGACGGAGCTTTACTGAAACACTGCGAGGGAAATCAGAGGAACTGACACGAGCTGCTGCTTTCACAGTGAGTCTGAATCATTTCACTGTTCTTACTGGGACTAATGGGAGTAATGGGAGTACTGGGACTGAGCTGCTTCAGCAGAGCTAGTTGGTGAAAGCAGGAGAGTCTGTGATGCTTCTTCTCTCACTTTACAAACTGAAGTCAAACTGTGCAGAGCTTCAGGAGAATGAAGCTGATTTATTGACAGCTGTGACTGATGACTGAAAGCAGCTGCTGTGTTGAGGTTGTGTTTCCTCTCTGTATGTCTATAGGTACATTTGAAAAACATCCTGCAGTAGGTTGCAGCTTTGTGCTCCTGTTGAGACAAATAATAAAATGTCATAGCACGAGGCGTTGAGTCTGACAGAGACACCGTCGCTCTGCTGGGTTTGAAAATGTTAACATGTCTTAAAAATGATTTCACTTTATCTTCTGGAGCGACGTTCACTCAGTCAGTCATGATGAACTGAGACCACGTGGAGCTGAACTACATCAGACGAGCTCTGGTTTGATTCACCAAGTGATGATGATGATGATGATGATGCAGCAGTCAGATTCCTTCTTCATCCCGCAGAGACACAGTCAGCTTACTGGATGGTACTTTTTCGGGACCACTGAAAAAACAGAGTGACTGACAGAAGCAGAAAAACACGTCAGTTTCCATCATTCATACAAACATGCAGCCCAAAGTGCTTCACATGGCAAAATTAGGATGAGACAGACACAAAACTAATTCATTTTTAAAACCACAAACCAACCAAAACAGAACAAACTTACAAAACAGATGATTAAACTCCACAGAATAAAAAAAAGAGCAAAAAAAAAACAAAACATAAAATAGAATAAAAATGAGCAGGAGAAATAAAAGTAGGTAAAAATTAATGGTTAAAACTTAAATATCCAGACTGTAATGTTACTCCACATTAAAAGCCAGATGAAGAGTGACTGAGTGCAGTTTTTCTTGCTGCTTTTGGTTCAGTTAAAAGAATTTTTTGTTATTTTTTTCTTCATTTAGCTCTAAAAAGTTTTTACCCGTCTGTATATTAATGTCAGCGTGACAGTCAACGAGAGCATGCAGTGCATTAGGGGCATTTGGTGTGACAGAGACATGCAGCTGTGTGTCATCTGCATAAAAGTAGTAATTAACATGGTGATGGCTACTAATGTTTCCAAGTGGAAGCATATATAACGAAAACAAAACTGGGCCAAGAATGCTTCCTTGAGGAACACCACATTTAATGCTATGAGTCTCTGATACATGAGCACCCCGGGTGACAAAAAACAGTCCGTCAGTTAAATATGTGAGGTTGTAACGCTGTCAGAGAGAAAACACACTGCAGCTCCTCTCATGGCCACTAGAGGCTGCTAAAAACACTTTATCAAAAATATTAGTCTACCTGTCGCCAGAGGAAAATGTTCTGCAAAGCACAAATATGTTTCATTTGCACATTTCATATATTTTATATGAACGATGTCATCGGGAGGTCGAGGGGATGTTGGGTGGAGAGACGCCTGCTGAGCTGCACTTCAACACCAACAAACTACTAAAGTGACAAGTCATGGCTGTCTCTCCTTCGCCGCCAAACAAAGGTGTGTTTTTGGTGACCCGTCGCTGTTTATTAAACAACGATAGTGCCAATTTTTTATTTTTTTTACCCATACATTGCTCCTGTGTTTTTGCGACCCATCCACCACCTGCCCCCCTACAGACCACCTGAGACCACTTCCTTCTTTACTCCTGTCACTGGTCACATGATCACAGCCTTCCAAAATATGTGGGTTATGTACAAAGCTCTCTGCTGTGGCTCAGTGTGTTAAAGGTCGTCTTGTTTTGGTTTCACTCTGCTGACATTCCTCCGCTGATAAGAAATCTCTTCCTCTCTGGAGGTTCGTCTCCACCTCTTTCATCTCCTCTCTCTGTTTTCCTGTTAAAAACAAAACAATTCAGCCCAAATCCAGAAATAATCACGAGACAGCGCCGCACGATGTGAAGGAAGACACAGATATGAAGATACAGCCATAAATATACACAAACTGTTTGATACTGACTTAAGTTTGTGAGCAAACCACAAAAACACATATTTAGGGATGTTTTCGATGTTTTCATCAGCCGCATGTTGGTACCTGCCAATTTTCCTTTTGACTGCCATCAGCCAATCAGTAAATCAGATGACATCACTGACGGCAGTGTTGGATGTTGTTCTGTCACGTCTCAGGCTACAGCGCAGATATGTCCAGACTGAGGGGCCGTGCACACGCAGCATTTTTAACTGGCTAGAAATCGCGAGGTCAGGCGCCAAGTGCCTTTTCTGTGCCGGCTTTCAAAAGCGCTGCGGCAGGTTGCTTCTGAGGTTGCTAAGCAACCCTAACAAGCATGGTATAGGCTGATCTTTTTCCAGGAGCTGTTTATAAGTGTGTAGGCCTGTCGTCTGTGGGACAGATGTAAAGATCTGCCCTGCACTAACATGATCAACGTGTTTATCAGACTGAATATCCTCTACCTCCTCCACCTCGGTCACATCATCCGTCGTCACGGCCTCCGTTTCCACTGTTACGCTGACGACATCCAGCTCTACATCTCCACCAAATCCATCACCTCTCAGACCTACTCCACCCTCTCAAACTATCTCTCTGATATCAGACACTAGATGCAAACAAATCTCCTCAAACTCAACTACGACAAATCAGACTTACTCATAACTGATCCAAGTTCCCTCACCCTGGCAGCCAAAGACTTCCATCTCTCTATGGACAACTCCACTCTCTCCCTCTCCCCCCACTGCCTCAACCTTGGAGTCATCTTTGACAGCAATCTCTCCTTCAACCAACACATCAAGCAAGTCACCAAATCAGCATTCTACCATCTCAAAAACATCGCCCGCCTCCGCCCGTCTCTCTCCTTCCCTGCAGCTGAAACCCTCATTCATGCTTTTATTACATCTCGTATCAACTACAGCAACAGTTTCCCCTACGGCTCAACCTCCAGTCTCCTAAATAAACTTCAGTATATCCAGAACTCTGCTGCCCGCCTCCTCACCCACACCCGCTCCCGTGACCACATAACCCCTTACCGTATCCAATCCAAAATCCTCCTACTAACCCACAAAGCACTTCACAACCAGGCCCCCTCCTACCATAAAGACCTTCTCCACCCCTACACCCCTTCCTGCACCCTCCGCTCCTCTGTCCCATCGTCCCAGGAACAACAGGAAACTTGTTTGGGACAAACAGAGATCTTTCCAGAAACATAGTCGTGATGAAAGGACTCAGTAGTGTCAGAGGACGCAGCCTGTCGTTACATCGTGAACAACAAATCTGTGATGTCATCAGCAGGAGGAGAGCGAGTTAGCGGCAGTAGCTCAGTCCAGGGGCCCTTGGGCTGGAAACCTGAGGGTCACCGCTTCAAGTCTCCGTACAGACCAAGCATGAAGTGTGGACTGGTAGCCAGAGAGATGCCAGTTTGTCTCCTGGGCACTGCTGAGGTGCCCTTCAGCAAGACACCGAACCTCCAACTGCTCAGGGTGCCAGTCCAAGGGCGACGTCCTCGCTCTGACAGCTCTCCATTTAATGCATCTTCTTCGTCTTCTTCCTCTTCTTTTTCTTCTTCTTCTTCTTGACGTTAGCTGTTAGCAGCTGATGGAGCTAACAGCTGACAGAGGTTACATTGAGTTACATTATGGTGCGTTTCAGCTCTGTTCAGTAAAAATAAGTCATTAAAAATATATAAATAATAAATATATAAATATATAAATATTCCATCAGCTGCTCAACAGAAGTTTTTTTTACCTTGTTTCCTAAACTGTGACTGTGGAGTGTTTCTGCTGTGTGTGAAACTCTGCTGAGCTTTATCCTTGACTTGCTTGAATGGTGTCTCGGAGCTGTTGTGTGTTTAACCGCCATAAAAACATTTTCTCTCTCGTTTTTAACCCTGCAGTGTTTTTCCTGTTGGCCTCCATCCAAGCCTCAGTCCTTCCACCGCCAGCAGTTTTAACTCTCGCCTTATCTCCCTCCGCCTCTCTCTGTGTAAACACGCAGCACATGCTCGTACCTTCTTTATGCTCACACTGATTCCACAAAGCTGTTTACGCAGCATGAACATGAGGAGAGTGTGGTGCTGTGCAGCTCAACGTGTGTTCATGGTTCACGCTGTGTTTGTGTTCAAAGTTTGATACTTAAGTAAGTATAAAAGTTAGTGTGTTAAACAGTCACATGATCAGAGCGTGGGTGTTGACATGTACTTTGTGACTGCAGTAAATCCTCTGAGGTGATATCAGAGAGTGTGAGTTTGACCTGTGTTTGTATTTTACAGGTTTAGTTTTCCTCTTCTGTCTCTGCGTGGTGAAAACTTAAATCATGGGCGCCAACGACCTCAACATGAACTCTGACCCCGTGAGTTCATCACCTCCTGCCCGATCCCGGAGTCCCTTCAACAGCATCAAGGTTCGTCTCTGCTTCACATCCAGTGTTTGATGATTAGAAACAACTGATTCTACATGTGTTTGGTTTTAAAGGGGAATACTGTCTATCTGTCTCTCTGTCTACTGGGAGGATATTCTTTAACTGGAGTAAAAAAGGCCAAACGTTTTGAGCAAGAAATCAGAAAAAAAAAATTGAATTTTCACAAAATAAAAACAATTTTTATGTAAATTTGATCATTTGAGGCTTTTTTTGCCTGAAATTTAGAAAGATTCCAGATTCATCTCTGTACAGACGGATAAGCAGCACAATATGTCACATATAGTTCGAAACCCACCGTGTCGTGTATCTGTCGTGTTTCTTACAGGGAAAACTTTACTAACAGTGTTTTAAAAGCGACACAAGATAAGATCAGACCTAAGATAATGAAACATGTTGAATCTGTTACTGTGTTGTATAACTTGATATAAAACCACACAGCAGAACTTTGAACCACTCGACAAAATGTAGCTCTGGATCAACGACCCAAATGCAAGAAAAATTTTGGCTTTGTACATTTCTGCAAACAACTGATTCATTAATTTGCGCGTTATTATGAAGCAGATACGTCAACAGCTGTCTTTAATGTGTTGTTACGTTCAGACAAAGATCATGTTCAGTGGATGGAAAGAGATGATGGGTTATTAGAAACACAAAAGTTTGGCAGCATGAAATTACTACAAACATTATGTTGGGTGGCACAAGTGCTGCTGGACAAGTGGCAACAAGTTGCTAGGAAACAGCCATGTTTAGCAGCACGAAGTTGCTGAACACCAACAGTCTGACTGCCTTCAATCCTTCGACAGGTGATGTTTCCCTGGAAGAAGAGAAACCTGCTGACAGAAACAAGAGTTAGTCACTTCTTTTCAGTGGAACTTGTGTTGAGAGGCTTTGTTGCTTTCAGCTGAGCAGATTCCTCTGTTGTTTGTAACTTCACTTCCTCATGTCCATCCTGGAATTGTTCTCTGAGGCCAATGTTTCCTCACGACAGGTCGTGTCACGCAACTCTGATGAGTTCACTGTGTCATAAGTCACTTATTAGTTGTTGGTTTCGAAATTACACTGATACCTGCAGAGTCAAACCTGTCGGCCACGTTGTGTCTTTTTACTCATCTCCCTTTTTTCTCCTTCTTGCTCTCTGCAGTTCTTTGTGTTCTGCCACAGCCTGCTGCAGCTGGCGCAGCTGTTGGTGTCGGGCTACATGAAGAGCTCCATCTCCACCATCGAGAGACGCTACGGCCTCTCCAGCCAGAAGTCAGGGCTCCTGGCTGCTTTCAACGAGGTCAGTGCAGGACACTTCCTGCTCTTTGTTTACATCACTGCTGCGCTTTCCTGCTGAACAGATCTCCCACTGAGTGTTTGTTAAGTGTAGTTTTAAGAGAAAACTTTCCACCAGCACTTTTTCTTTTCTTCTTTTGTTTTCAAAAACCTGTTTAACTCGGGATGAATACTCGGGTTTCCAAACTAGCAGTCTGCAGTCGAGTTGAATACCAGGAAGATCTCAGTGTTTTCTGTGAGGTCACTCTCCTGAGAAATATACCTGCAGTGTCATGACGTGTTTAGCATGTGTGTGTTTGCATACTGAAGAATGAGGTATACGCCGAAACAAAGATGTTAAATCATGTGTGTTTTCCACCTTAATATGGTGGACGTTTCGTAGGAACTGTTGTCCTCCTGTAGTATCACCAAACACATGTTTTCTAACATGTATACAGTGTTTTTAAATCAAACTTGGTTTATAGAGAGAAATGCTGTGATATATTTGTGTGACGTGATAATTTCACAGGACAACTACATTCTACTTAATTCTCAACACTGTCGTTGTCACGCTGCACGGGCTGTTGGTGTGACTGTGTGTCGTTGTGTGTGTCCAGGTGGGGAACACGGTCCTCATCGTGTTTGTGAGTTTCTTTGGAAGTCGAGTCCATCGGCCTCGGTACATTGGAGGCGGAGCTCTGCTGGCCTGCCTGGCCTCGTTGCTGATGGCACTGCCACACTTCCTGGGAGGACCGTACGAGTACACGGACCGCATCAGCTGTGAGATCAAACACACACACACACACACACATCCTGCCCAGCCTCTGGTTTCCTGTTTGCAGAATGAGCTTATCTTCCAGTTAGCGCACCTCATCATCAGTGGGCGTGTCATGTTCCACAGATCAGAAAGAGGCAATGGAGGAGGCAAGTGGGAAACTGTCAGAGAAGAGGGCATTCAGTGGTCGACAGCACGGTCTCATCCTCAGGTCATCATATACGCTATGTCACACCCCTTCAGCATGTGATACCAACACTGGAGGCAACGTCAGGCGTTTCTATATGATGCAGCTGGTCTCACTCTGAAGTTGTCAAAAACCAGCGCTTGGTCAGTGACTGACAGCGACAAAAAAAGCCGTCCTTTCACACAGGCATGATATTCAGCCAGTAGAGCAGCATCAGGGGGAAACGTGGAGGGACAACAATGAAAGTTAAGGTGGCGGAAGTCCAAGTAGGGTGGACGAGAAGGGTGGTGGTTGGGTCTAACAAAGATGGTCTTTCACCCAGGTGGCCGCTGTTCACTTCCTGTAAGGTTGTAAAGCCAAACCCTGTCCTTTTTTCCTAAACCCAACCATGTGTGTGTGTTTTTTGTTAAAGATATTTTTTGCCTTTAATGGACAGGACAGTTAAGTGTGAAGGGGGGGAGAGAGAGAGGGAGAGACATGCAGCAAAGGGCCACAGGCTGGACTCAAACCCAGGCCGCTGCGGCAACAGCCTTGTAGATGGGGCGCCTGCTCTACCACTAAGCCACCAACGCCCCCAACCATGTGTGTTGTTGAAGGAAAAAAACATCAGTTGGTGGTGTTGTACTGATGTAGTGCTTTTATTTTGAAAGAGACTGTATGCAAACTGTACATTTCCTGTGAAAACAGAAGTGTATTTTGAAAACAGACAATGCATGTAACAGGCTGAAGTTGACAACCAAGAACGTCAACAACCAACACACCCAGGGTACCTTGGACGTCATATGTGGACGTCACATGTTAATGACCAAACGTGTCAACTTCAGCCTGTCGGTGGTTGTTAGACCCATCCACCACGCCTCCCACCTGGCTTACTCGGACTTCTGCTGCCTTAACTTTCATTGGCGTCCTGCAGCATTTCCCCCTGACACCGCCAGACGCCATTAAACATAATGGTGACCGGCTACACATCATACAGATGTGAAAGAACAGCTTCTTTGGTGTCTGACGCCAGAAGTCACTGACTGACTGGTGACGACTTCTGAGTGAGACCAGGTTCAGGGGTGACAGAGGACTTCTAAAGATAAATATCTCAACAACTATCAGACGGATTGCCATGAAATTCGGTTCAGCCATTCATGACCCTCAGATGATGAATCCTAATAAGTTTGGTGAGGCTCTGACTTTTATCAGACGTTAGACGTTACACATGCTTCAGTTCATAAACCTTACATGCTTAAACGACAGTCTGAGGAGTCCTGCATGGCCCTCTGTAGGGACGATACACTCTTCTGATTGTGACGTGTCCTGTGGCCCCGCCCTCTGGACCAACTTTACATTATTTGACCAACTAGTGACTCTGACTGATGGAAGCAATGTGGGCCAGAACAAAGTGCTGGGACATTAACACTCACCTCCCCCTCTGTTTCCCAACAGCCTCCAGTCCTAACTCCAGCCTCTGCCAATCAGAGAGCACCCTCGCCACCTCATCATCCAATCAGAGCTGCAGCCAGCATGAGAGCCGCGTCCAGGATAGGATGTACCCTCTGCTGCTGCTGGGTCAGCTGCTGCTGGGTATCGGAGCCGTCCCCATCCAGCCCTTTGGCATCTCCTACATTGATGACTACGCCAGCAGGAAGAACTCCCCGCTCTACCTCGGTAAGCTGAGCAAACACTGAATACTGTTTTATCCAAACTGTCCTGATTAGTGATAAACGAGTGATGGCAGATTAAACTGTTTCCACCAGAACAAAGAACTGTACAGAACATACAGTAAAAAAGAGAATTTGAAACTTGCCAGAATCAACTGCAACACCTGTCCACATGTACTCAAACTCTCTGACCTCATGTGTCACAGACAAACTGTCTGTGTGGGTGCAACATGTTCTCATCCCACCATGTCCAAATACTGCCACTTTGTCAGTAGATCTGCACGTCTAAATATGGCGCTCCAGACACCCTCCTGAATCAGTTTTGGACATTACAGGAAGATGTTTTAATTAAACTTGTTACACACATTGTGTCTTCTCAAAATTGAGCAAAGCATAAGTTCAGGCTCACATCCCAGCTACATCAGCTGATCGCAAGCAGCACAGTCAACTGACGGATCAGCTGACTGATGGAAGGGAGTCAGCTGATTGATCACATGATTCCTTTTTATGCAACCAATCAGCAAATCTCATTCAGGGCGTCCTATTTAAACTGCTTCCTACTGTTGCTGCTCCCTCTGCAAGCTGCTTTGCAACCTGCCTCCACCCCAGCTCCTCCTTTTCATGCTGTGTCTGACTTATCAGTTTCATTTCTATTTGTCATTGATGCTGCTCTGTTCTGTTCCCGGGGGGTTTTTGCTGCTGCTCTCCCTGCCTTAGGCTTTCCATGTAGGCGCATGGAAGGGCATGTGCCTACATGTGCTCTCTTTGCCTCAGGCTTTTTCCATAGGCGTGTGGAAGGGTGGTGAGGTATGCTGTCTTCACCTTAGGCTTCCCACATAGGCATGTGGAAGGGTGGTGAGGTGTGCTCCTTCTGCCTTAGGCTTTACATGTAGGCACATTGAAGGGCAGGGAGGTCCCAGAACAGAGCCATGCTGCAAAATATCAAATTGCAAATAGAAATAAGATTATTTTGTGGTCTGGACTGAAATAAAGTTTGGTTTTCACAGGACATGAATAGTTTCTGCTCGTTACATGCAACTAGTGTTTTTCAAAATAAATTACAATGTGAGGTAAAACGCTTAATTTTTTGGCAACAAGAGCATGTGGTTAGGTTTAGACAGAAACACCATGGTTTGGCTGAAAATGTACTGAATGAAACTGGACAGCGGACGCCCAGGTAGAGGTACAGAGTTTGCCCTCAAAGTCCATGTATATGCATGGATACGTTACATTTGTCACAGACACAACGCGTCCAACAAGTGTTAAATGAAATACCGTTCATGAACGTCTAAAACAGATGCAGGAGGGTATCATAAGCGTCACATTTGGACGCTCATGTCCACTGACAAAGTGTCTGTATTTGACGAGTTGGGATGAGAACATGTTGTAAAAACCACCCATGTTTGTGCCTAAAAAGCTGCTGGAAGCGCAGCGATGACTCGGTAAGAAACACCAGGTTTTGTTGTTTGTTGGTGTTGAATAGTGGTCCGCAGCTCGGCAGGAGTCTCTCCGAGGTGTCATACCATCCACCATCGCCTCCACCTCCTGATGACAGTCAGCTCATGTCACTTTACAAATGTTGATATGAAACGTACAAACATAACTTATCTGTGGTTTGCAGAAACGTACAAGGCCAACATTTCCTTCTGGTGGCTAAGCTGAGTATTTTTGGACTGTGCTATTTGTACTTTTACAACTTGATCCTTAATTAATTAAAACTGTATTAGAACTTTCCTTTTTAAAACAGCATTAAGAATAAAAGCAGGCTTGTACTCTCTACTGCCCACAGTTACATAACAGCAGAGTACAGAATCACTCCTTCCTGCTCATATTACCAGTTGGCCTGAATGGTGTATCTAACCCTGTTTTATCTGGAATATTTCATTAGCAGTGTCATATTTTCCATGCAGGCTGCAGCTCCAGATGTTTTGCTGTGAATCATGAAAAAGAAAGACCTGAATCAGGTCCTGTGTCACAGAGCTTCTGATCAGCCTCAGTGTGACAGATATTTGCATGCTAACAGTCTGATGTTAGTTCATGTCTCAGTGTGTGTGAATGCTCCTGCAGAGTAACAGCAGCCTGTGGCATCTGCAGCCTCTCAGCTTACACAACAGACTGGTTTTATTGGTTCTCTGGAATCAGTCTGAGGCCGGAGTCATGATGTGCTCATTTACTGTCACTGGTTTCACTCTGCACGAACACTCACTGATATATCGGATATAGGGATTATAAGCTTTTACATCAAGGATTTATCCAGCCCAGTCACCAGGGGAAAATGTTGGCATTGTACAAACCCTCCTACAGACTGAGAGACTTTAGCACTCCTACAGGTTTCCTGCAGCTACATTGTGCAACATGGATCTGATGAGCGTGGGAACAACATCAAGTTGTCTGCAACTGTACGATGACAGCGCCGACTGAATCACATACGATAGCCTCCCATACTGAGTGAAGAAGGATGCTGCACGGGTTATTACTTCAGCTGTGAAGCACAACACAGAGGGACACATTATTAAGATTAATAAAATCATTATTATCAATAATGGAATTAATAACATGCCTGAAAAAAATGTTGATAAAATGTCTGAAAAACGTTATTGAAATATAAAAAAAAAAATTAATGTAAAATGTCTGAAAAAACAAAACATTGTTACTGATCTTCTGTGGTACCAACCAGTTCTGCCAACGTGTGAATCAACTCAGCATTTTACAGAAGAGATTTTGTCAAACAGAAAACAGCTTAAGATTTAGACTAGTCCATAGCCATTGGTAGCTTTGTCACCTTCTACCTATGCCAGTCCTCAATGCCTATGTGCAGTTTCACATAGATTGACCACGTCAGTGAGTAGAAAAACGTGGGACAGACAGAATGACTGACTGACAGAATGACACACTGACAGTTTCCGTGATTATGTACAGCATACCATACCATGACTTAGTCATACCAAACATTAGAAAACACCAACATTGGTCCACAGGGGGAGCCACAGCGATCTGCCGCATTTTAGCCATTTTGAAGCATTTTTCTGTTGTTATAGAGCCACCCAGTTGCCAATTAGAGTTAAATTTCTCCAGTCACCTTGAGGCGTCCTGTTCTACATATCTACCAAGTTTAGTAAAAATCCATATGGCGGTTAGGCCTAGATAAGAAATGAGCTCTCTAGCGCCCCCATTTTGTTTGATGGGGTCAATAATGGAGGGGTCCCCTCAGATTATGTGTGGTCATATGCCTACAAAGTTGCGTGGTGATGGGTGAAACCCTTGAGATGTTATACACCTTTATGTGATGAGCCACGCCCTCCGCAATATTCATTGCCTTATAGAAGCTCAGTTTTAGTAAGTTTTCCAACTTTTGCCAAGAGGGAACTTTAGATATTGGTCCCTAGATTATGTTCACCCAGTTTCATGCAGATCGCTCAAACTTCCTAGGAAGAGATCCATTTGAAGTGTTTTTCAAAAAATTCAAAATGGAGGAAAATCTATAAAAGAGGAAGTTATGGGTTCTTGAGGCAAATGTGTTCCTCATGAGGAGAGGCATCTCTGTGCAAAGTTTCATGTCTCTACAACATAAGGGGCATGAGATATGCCCATTCAAAGTTTGACATTTCAATGGGTTGCTATAGCGCCCCCCTTTGGCCAATTGATGTAATATTGCTTCATTGGCATCCTCCCATGACCCTCTACCACTGTGCCAAATTTCACATGGATTGACCAAGTCAGTGAGGAGAAAAACGTAGAACAGAGTTTTCATCATTTTATAGTGAGATTATTGCAGATGAAATGTGGGCTCAGTCTCATGAGCCTCAGACGGTCATCGTCCCTCCTGACGGCAGGTTTTCTTGTTGTTTGTGTTTTTCAGGGATCCTCCTCGCCGTGACCTCCATCGGCCCGGCCGTTGGCTTCATCACCGGCTCCCTCATGCTGCGCTTTTATGTTGACTTTGACAAGTTATCTAAAGGTGAGGAGACGCGCTGAAATACTCATTTATTACACTTGTTTTAATGTGACAGGAAGGAGGGAGTCACTTACAGTGAAGTGAAGTAAAACCAGAGAGAAGCTGATTAATGTTTCAGGTCATGTCCTTACAAACGCTGTAGAGCTTTAGAACAAGACGAATGTCTGACAGAAAGGAAACATCTTCATGTTGATTTAATGTGATGAACAGTGGCTGTGAAACATCTTCACTACTCTGACCTGTTCACACATCAAACTATTAACATTAATATTAACTATTAACTAACAGCTGATTTATCAGGATGTTTCTTCAGCTTCAGTTAAAGTTCTCTTTGTTCTTTTGTCTGAGTCCAAAAACAAAAACAAAACTTCTTCATCCTGACGTCTTCCTGCTGGTTATCCCTCAGCTTTGGTTCGTGAAGCAACTAACAATCATTGTTACTCAGCTGACAGTTCTTTTCTCATTTGATCATTTGGTTTTTTAAATGTTAGAAAATAGTGAAAACTGTCCAGAGTGATGTATTTAATATGTTAGTCAGATATTTAATTGAATATAATATTTAAAAAGGAGAAAAGTTGCATGAAAAATTACTTCAGTGATTAATCAATAATCAAAAATAGACTGCACTGATTTTTTTTTTTTGGCTGCAGCTCTATCTGTGATTTAAATTCAGCTGCCCGATACAGTCCTTTAGATTTTAGATGTGTCAGAACACTAATGTTGCACAAAGCTGTAAGCTAAGAATGAGTGTGTTTACATGGACAGTTTAATTCCCTTTTTATTTGGAATGAAAGTTCATTCCTATTAAAAGTGGCCAATGTGATTGAAAATTCAATCCGATGAAAGGGGCTGGAATATTCTGTTTCTAATTCCGAATGAAAGAATTTCTCACACTTGTAAACACTCATTCCTCTTTAAGTTCATTCCAGTCTTTCTGCACATGCTCGTTTCCTTGCCCTTCTGGCGCAATGACGTATATAGCGCGCATAGCAACGGGCTGAGATAGAGCAGTCGGACTCGTTGCACTCAGCAGTTTCCATTCGCCACAGCACGGTCTTCTATCTCCCTTCTTCGACCTTCTACCTCCCTTCTCCTCCTCAACAGACGAAGCATTAGCAGAACAAGGTTGTTGTCGTACTGCTGCTTCAAGAATATAAGCAAAACAAGCCTGAAAAAGGCACTAAGAACGGCGTCGTCAAGCATCTTGTTATCCGGAGCGAGGACTACAGTGTTTTCTTCCGGTAAACGTAAACACGTAACACCCGCCCCGCCCCCTATCCAATCAGAAACCTTCCCTGCCCCAAACCTTGTGCGGATTAAACTGATCTCAGTGTAAACCCTCATTCAGAATGAATATTTCTCATGTAAACTACCTGGAAAGACTTTAATTCAGAATGATTTCATTCAGATGTATTTCATTCTGAATGAGAAGCCATCATGTAACCACACCCAGTGAAAGTCTTTTGACAAACTACACGTTAAAATGAGGACATTTGGTTGTTAGTCGGCAAAGACTAACAGAGGTAGCCAGTGTGACGCCACCTACTGGTCTGTGGTCACAACCATTAAAAACCAAATATTCAAGAAAACTAACAAACACTGAACGAGACTTTTTTAGACGACCAGATGTTACAAATAACTTAACTTAATAATGAATCTGGGGACACGACATGGTTACGTTATCTAAGCAGCGTTAACGCAGTTGTAGCGGCTTGTCAACAAACAGCACCCATCTGTCACTCAAAGAGGCCTAAAAATGTGTAACTTAAAGTCTTAATAAAATGTAAACAGATGTTGAAATAATCCCCAGAGACCAAACAGGCTGTAAACGTGTTTATTTCTACATGTTAACATGGAGGTCTGTGGGGACTGACTCACTGTTGGAGCCAGCCTCAAGTGGACATTTGAGGAACTGCAGGGTTTTTTTCCATTTCATTTTTCAGCCCCACAGCTGGCTGATTATTAAAAACATCGAGTTAAAACTAAAATACCTTAAACATTTTTGCATGAATGGAAATGGTTATTTAATACAGGGATTATTATCATTATTATTATTATTATTATTAATATGACTGCACAGCTAAATCTCATGTTTCTATGATGTCTGGTTTGTTTGTGAATGCAGCAGCTTTAAACATACTTGAGCGGTGGAACGCAAAGTGCCCAAGTTGATGGTAATAATAATAATCTTTATTCATAAAGAGCCTTTCAAAGCAGAGTTACACTGTGCATTACATGTCAATAATTCAAACAGACAAGACATGAAAACAACAACTGATAAAAACACTATGGTGAATAAAAGCTGAGGAAATAAAACACAGTTTACATGAACTTAAACTCAAGTAAAATCACACCACTACATCTATCCAGCCTGTGGGTTTAGTTTTTATTACCAAAAGTCCTGGTGTATAAACAGAGACATTAAACCACGGAGGACCTGGACCCAGCTCAGCACTGAGCACCGTGTTTGTTTAACAGGTTTGATTAAAGCAAACAAAGACTTCACACCCTGCTGACCTGCTTTGATTGATGTGGGAAACACACATCAACCCTCAGGGCGATCACACAACGTCTCTGCAACAGTTTGGAACGATGGATCTCTGACGCCATGACATTTTAGAGATATGTGGTTTTCACAGGACAGCCAAGGACACCAAGGCAGGATGGTGCAAACACATGATGGTCTTAGAGAACAGTAGATTAACCCAGCCGACAGGATGTAAAGGAGTTAAAACATCTGCAGCAGGAAAATGACACATGAATGCAGCAGATTCATCCAATTAACATCACAGAGAAGCAAAGAAAATTGTTTTTACTGCGACACGCTGACTTTTGCTTCGGTAGGAGTTTAAAGGGCCAGTGTGTAATATTTGGCATGGTTTATTGTCAATCTGAATCTGAATCTGAATCGTCTACCCATTAATATGTTTATACAAGTGTATGATCGCTATAAAATAAAATTTGTTTGGTTTTCATAGCCTTATAATTATGCTTTTATATATATATATATCAAGGGCCTTGCTTTAGAGAGGTCGCCATCTTGTGCCGCCATGTATGTACGGCAGCCCGAGCGGACAATCCAGCCAGCCAGAGAACGCGTTTCGCATGTATAAATGAACCAACGAAGACAGTGGAAGGAAGGAAGAAGGAGGAGGAAACAGCAGAGTGTTAGTAGTTCGTTGATAGAGAGTAGTGAAAAGTTTTTTTAGTTATAAAGTTTGCGAATGGACCACACTTACCACGCAACAGGAGAGAATGAACCCGAACCGTCATCTGCGAGGAAAAGAAGACACAACTTCACTCCTTGTGATGCACTCTCTGCGGCGCTTTTCCTCCTGATGATATATCTCCCCAACGATGGCAGCAGTAGCACCGAATCCCATTCTGTGCATTCAGCCTCTCTTCTCGCCCGCTCAGCATCAAACACATGGAGTTCCTCATCTGTATGCTCCGGCTCAAACAGGTATGGCTCTGGATCTGTGTCCGCTACAAGAAACTCCTCAAAATCGCGTTCAAAGTCGTCCATTGCAGCTACTATAGTCCGGAGATATCGCTAGGCTAAATAAACAGCTGAGCTGTGTTTACCGGCTACGCTGTCAGTCAGTGTGCAGGCTGGAGGTTGGTGGAGCAGAGAGGGGAGGGGGGTCCCCACTTAGCATGGTAAACGAGTATGTGTGTAAAGTTATGAAGTGTGTCTGTTACGCCAGAAGAGTCAGAGTTTGGGACGGAGTCTTTTACCCCCTGGAGTGTTACCGGAGTTTATGGAGTGCTCAAATAAACAGGCCTTTTTCCCGAACGCTCCTCTGGTCTCCTGCTCGTGAGGGATTCATTACAACATCGTAACATGGTTTAGATTTCTAAATAAACATTCACCTCGTCGCTAGATAGACCTACTCCTGAAAAACTCGTGCTCAAGGCTTTTTGTCCCTACGAGGCCACCGTCATTTACCCGACGGGAGGGGTGAGCGAGTGAGCCCTGCAATCTAGAATTTGACCACTGATGTCACTGTTTCCAACGGTTTTCAACCCATTTTACACACTGGCCCTTTAAATAAATGACTTTTACTTGTAGTAGAGTATTTTCACACTTTCCCTGCTCAGTGAAGTGAAGCTTCAGTCCCAGCTGGACGAGGACATCTAACTGGCCTACTGTCCTTGTCCCAGTATACAAGCACGGGAGGGGAATCCATTTATTGAGCCAAGTATGTGCGACTCCTCTACGATAGGTGGAGATATGCCCCCTTTCAGCTTGTTAGTATTGGACCTTTTTCCTGTTGACCTATTACGTCACAGACCAAACAATGGACAAACAAGTTAGCTACGGTTAGCTAGCAGCACATTCACTGCAGGACCATTTCACTCACACTGACATGTTTACAGGGGTTTTAAATAAGTCCATTTCCTCTGATGTCATCTAAACGGACCGAGTGTGGTGTTAGTACTTTTACTGCGGTAAAGGATCTCGGTACAGCTTCCATTACTGTTCATCTTACAAATAAAAATTAGAATAACTGATTAAATGTTCTCTAGTTCAGTTCATCAGGGTTTGGCCACATGTGCAGTGACATTACCAGTAAATGACTTTGTGACGTGTACACAGTATTTCTACTGTTTACCTCAGGATCATCTCGACAACAGATTAAACTAAGCTGCTGTTGTGAGTTGTAAAATTCTGTCTCTGTTTTGGCTTCAGATAATCTTTAAATTATTGGATCTGCAAACTGAACGCCCTTGATCATTTATTTCATTGTGTCAGAGGAACCTGAAGCAACATGCCTTCGCCAACACATTGCATTAACTCAGAGCTGTTTCCTATCTGAACGCCGGGTCGTTGGGTGTCTGGTGTGAACAGGACCTGGGAGAGCAGCTCAGTCACCAGGATGAAATGTTGGAGTTCTAAGTTTCCACAAATCATTGATATGTTACATCTGTACATCTCATACCAACGTTTCTAAAGTGACGTAGTATCTGAGCTGACTCAGTCACCAGGAGGTGGAGGGGATGTGGATGTGATGACTCCTGTCGAGCTGCAGACACTGTTCAACACCAGCAAACAACAAAACTGGTTGTTTCTTAGCAAATTGCTGCTGTTTCCAACTGACCTAACGTTGGTGTTTTGTAGCAAACTGTCACTGTTTTTCCAGCTGCTTCACAGGAATGAAGAGTGGTTGTTTTTTGACGACGTCACTGCATTTCCTGCAAAACATGATCTTTTCCAAACCATAACCAAGTGGTTTTTGTGCCTAAACATAACCACACGTTAAACACAGCGTTGTTAAAACAAAAAGTTGTGATGCTACATCATAACCTACAAATTAGGGATGTCAGTTTCACCTTATTTTGCTCAACCATTTATTAACTTTTTCAGAAAAAAGAATGCAAAATGAAGTATAAGAGGCCCTTCCTTTGAGTCAGGTGCTCATGTGACGCATTTCAAGGCTCTGATGATGAGTTTCAGCTTCTCAGAGAGACTGAATGAAAGAATATGATTTCAGCTAACTCTGCAGAGTCAACAGAACAGAGCGTCTCTGAGCTCATCGTTTCACGTCTGCTCATATTTCGGGATGAGTTTCAGGACTCAACACTTTGTTGATGCTCAGTGAAACTCAGACGCTTCGGATGTTTGGCGCCTCTCAGATTAACAGAGCTTCACTTTGTAACAAGCCTTGTTTAAACAAAAACCTACTTCCTTATATACCATGTGAACGGAGGTGAGTCAGTGTGTGTGTGTGTGTGTGTGTGTGTGTGTGTGCAGGCAGGAGTTTGTATGTGTTTATGCATGCATGTATAATGTGTTTGTGTAGGACGATGTGCTTGTATATGCAGGACTTTTTTTGTTTCATGATGCACACATTTTGAGTGTGTACGTGTGTTTCGCTTTGTGTGGACCAATTTGAGAACCTGGACTTTGACCTGCAAAGTGAGGACACTTTGAATAATGAGGACATTGTGTAGACTTCACTTCTGCAAATCCCTGTTTGAGGATTAAGATTTTGTGTTAAGGTTATAGTTACAATTAGATGAGTGACTTTACTTTTATTATTATCATTTCATGTTTATGTTCAAGTGTCCTGATAATGCATATGCTGGTAACGGTCCCCACAAGTATAAAAGTAAAAGGGTGTGTGTATGAGCGTGCTTGTGGGTCCATAAGGAATACAGTGATTAGTGTGTCACTCAGCTGGTCTTTGTTCTTCATATAAACCAGTGTTTTATTACTCAGCCAGTCATTTTGAGCTGATGTCTTGTGTGACTCATGACTTTGTCATTGTCGTGTTTTATTGACTCATGTTAAGCTTTTGTGCAAACATCAAACTTGGCAAGACCTGAAATATGTTAAGAGAAGTCAGCCACATCTTCTCACAGTTCATTTGATTCATTTCTTTAAAATGTTAGTCATCAAACAGAAACATGAGAACAAGAGTAAAATGCTGAGATCAGAGCAGATACGAATTCTCCGCTGACATTTTTCAAGTCAAACAATAACAGTTTACCACTTTTCTTTTTCTTAAATGATAAACTTACGTAGCCTGTGACAGGAGGTGGGGGGGCAACATGAAAGAAGACACATATACAGTACGTATCTTTCAGGACCTTCACTTCACTCAGAGGCAAAATAAAACTACTTCAGGTGCTGGCTGCAGGATTAACCACCATTTCTCACTGCAGCTCATAATATTTTCTTTTAAAGGCCCAGTGTGTAAAATGGGTTGAAAACATGACATCAGTGGTCAAATTCTAGATGGCAGGGCTCACTCGCTCACCCCTCCCGTCGGGTAAATGACAGTGGCCTCGTAGGGACAAAAAGCCTTGAGCATGAGTTTTTCAGGAGTAGGTCTATCTAGCGATGAGGTGAATGTTTATTTAGAAATCTAAACCATGTTACGATATTGTAATGAATCCCTCACGAGCAGGAGACCAGAGGAGCGTTCGGGAAAAAGGCCAGTTTATTTGAGCACTCCAAAAACTCCGGTAACACTCCAGGGGGGACAACTTCGAACGCGATTTTGAAGAGTTTCTTGTAGCGGACACAGACCCAGAGCCATACCTGTTTGAGCCGGAGCACACAGATGAGGAACTCCATGTGTTTGATGCTGAGCGGGCGAGAAGAGAGGCTGAATGCACAGAATGGGATTCGGTGCTACTGCTACCATCGTTGGGGAGATATATCACCAGGAGGAAAAGCGCCGCAGAGAGTGCATCACAAGGAGTGAAGTTGCGTCTTCTTTTCCTCGCAGATGACGGTTCGGGTTCATTCTCTCCTGTTGCGTGGTAAGTGTGGTCCATTCGCAAACTTTATAACTAAAAAAACTTTTCACTACTCTCTATCGACGAACTACTAACACTCTGCTGTTTCCTCCTCCTTCTTCCTTCCTTCCACTGTCTTCGTTGGTTCATTTATACACGTGAAACGCGTTCTCTGGCTGGCTGGATTGTCTGCTCGGGCTGCCGTACATACATGGCGGCGCAAGATGGCGACCTCTCTAAAGCAAGGCCCTTGATATATATATATATATATATATAAAAGCATAATTATAAGGCTACGAAAACCGATCATACACTTGTATAAACATATTAATGGGTAGAATATTCAGATTCAGATTCAGATTTGACAATAAACCATGCCAAATATTACACACTGGCCCTTTAAGTTTTGCCTGAAAACTTGAAAATTTCTTGGGAAAACGCAAAGTTTTGCCTGAGAATACAAACAAATTCTCAGGAGGCCGCAAAAGATTTGCAACAGGATGCAAAAGTTTAAGATGAGAATGCAGAAGATTCTCAGTAGAACGTCAAAGTGTTGCGTTTGTATTTCTCAGGAGAATGCAAAGGTTTTGCAAGAAACTGTTAAAGTTTATTCAGAGAACACAAAAGTTTTGCAACAGAATGCAAAGGTTCTCAGGAGAAGGAAAAGAGTGTTGCAAGAGAGAACCACAGGAGCACAAAACACTGCCTTCTGTCCAGCGGGGACAGTATTTTCCTTGAAAGCTTTGCAAGAGAACACAAAAAGTTCCTTTGGTGAACACAAAAGATTCTCAGGAGAATTTGCAAGAGTTTTGCAAGACAATGCAAAAGCTTTGCCAGAGAACTCAAAAGTTTGTCGTGAGAGGAAAGGGAAGGTATTGCACAGGAACACAAACACCACCGTCTGTCCAATGGAAACAGTATTTTCCGTGGAAGCTGCTCCTCATATCACCTTTGATGCTGCTGCCATCGCCACGACGACTGAAACACAAAGATCTGCCAATGAAAACAGCTGGATGTCAGGATCATATTCAGAGCAGAGAGGAAAGAATGGAGTTTTCCTTCTGTCAGGGGACTGACCAAGAAATCAAAGTTCTGTCGCTCTGCAGACAATTTTCAGCATTTAGAGCATCAAACTTTATTTGTATAAATTTCACGTTAGACAGAAGGAAGCCGGAGGGATGTTATGAGATTAAGGTGAGAAAGATAAACAAAGAAAAGAACAATAAATCAGTACAAACTAAAGTCCCAACACGACACCATGAATCACTCCCTGGGAAAATGATATCGGTGGGTGACTTTGTTCTGAGGGAATAATTATGGTGAAAAAAGTCTTTCTGGCAGAACGCATGCTGGCACCAAGTCGGTCACACACTCTGCTTGAAAACAAATTCATGAAGGATGGAAATAACTAAAACCAAACTTCAGCTGTTGTGAAACAGAGACAGTGCTGATGTCAAAATCTAAACTGTCCTCTGAGTTCCTGTTCAAACCTGCAGCAGCAGCTTATAGAAGCTTTACTTCACTGTGTTGGAGGGAAACACGAAACACACCTGAAAGCTGGTGACGGCAGCAGGTGAGCAGAGTGTGTAATTTAAACCTTATTAAATGACTCAGTGTCGTCGGACCTGTTGAGGTGCGGCACTGCTGCAGCTCTGTGCACGTTGCAATGTCGCAACATTACTTTCACTGCTGTCACACAGATATTTCCATCAGGAGGTGGTGGAGACCAAAAACAGAGCCAACAGAGAGAATATCGGACTGACGTGTGTCAGGTGACTCAAACAGAATAAACAGCTGTTTCAGAACAACTTGGCCGCATCAGTTTAAAAGGTGATGATATGTTAACGTTCACGACTTGTTTCTGCAGAAAACACCAGTAACTGCAGGATGATAAGCACTGACTGAACACCTCAGGGTGTCTCCACGACTGTGTTTGTTCATAGATCTACTCTGCAGGACGTTACTAAAAAACAACGTCTCACCAGCAGTGATCGCAGCTCCTTCCCGTCTGATCACTGATTGTGATCTTCAACAACATGTTTTCTTAGTTTGCATGAAATGTGTCGAACAACTGAGGCTGATTCACGACTGACAGTCAGTGTGAAAACAAACTTTTTGTCGCTCCTGTCAGAACAACAGTTCACTTTGTGTGTCGTGACGGAGTCTCTTCTGTTCCCAGATCAGATCCACTTGAACCATAAGGACCTGCGCTGGGTGGGAGCCTGGTGGCTCGGCTTCCTGTTGGCGTCCTGCCTCCTCTTCCTCACTGCGCTGCCTTACCTCTTCTTCCCCAGAAACATGCCCAAAGAGGTGAGAGTGAGCACAAACAGTCCCACCTGGTCCTCATTCACTGCCAGTGTTTATTTAGACAGCTGTCTTAGATTTAGTCTGAGCCTTGAGACGAAGATGCTTTTTAGTTTTAGTCACATTTTAGTCCTTCACAGTTTTAGTATGGCTTTAGTTTACAAAAATTCAAAATGTTTTAGACTGAGTGAAGTCCGGCAGCCGGTGGCCGTTCAGCGGCTGACGAGTGGAGCTAGCTGCTAACAGCCACCGCTGCAACTAACAAACTCCACAAATCCATTCAGCAGCTCCACCATCCACAGTCAGACACACACGGCTGATTATTTACTGCTGAATTACAGCTCACAACTCACACCAACCAAAACATCCTGGTGAAGACTATTTACTGGAGTTTACCAGCCTGTCGCTCATGCTGCATTTGAAGATAATTTAAGCACGGCTGTTCTCGGCTTTCAATGTCCAACAGTCCACCACTAACATCTTCATCACATCTCAAGAAAAATAAAACATAGATTTCGTCTCTTTTTTTTTGTAATTAATTTTGGCTCGTCTTGCTTGCATGTCCAAATGTTAATGTCCACACGGCATGAAATTCCAGTGTTCGGCATTTAAATTATCGTCAAGCCAATTTTCATTCCAACAAAAATTTTACATCTGTCTGACATGTTGATGTCCTGTGCTAACGGGGTAGTTTGACTGTAACTGCGAGCGGCTGTTAGTGCTGATCTTTGGAAAGTCGACTGCTCTTGCAGTGAAGCTCATTTGCATAGAAAGGCGGCTAACAAAAAAGGGGAACTGCCCATTGCTTCGACAGCCCATTGATTCAACATCCCATTGTTCCGACCATATTAAACTCATTGTTCCGAAGTCCGTTCCGAAATCATCATGATGCCCTGTGGTTAAGGTCTGGTTAGATTTAGGCACAAAAACCACTTGGTTACGTCAGGAAAAGATCATGGTGTGGGTTAAAATGAAAAAGAAAGTGGCAAACACATAAGCCGTGAGCCTGCTCCGCCTCAAGCCGGTCGCAGCGCACCATACGCCCACCGCGAGCCGTTCAGCACCGCGGACAGTCGGACTTAATGGGCTGTCGAACCAATGACATGGACCCACAAAAAACATCCTGATAATTACAGCACGACCGTTCTCAGCTTCCGACGTCTGATAGTCCGCCGCTAACATCTTCGTCTCGTCTCCTCAATGACAATGAAACATAGATTTCATCTTAGTTTTTATTATCAAGATCTATTTTTAGCTGGTCATCGTCTCATTTTCGTCATGGACAACAAGTTGTGTTGTTGACAAAAAAAATTGTCATAGTTTCCATCAGCAAAATAAACACTGGTTACTGCAGCTTTAAGGAACAGTCAAAAGTTCTGCACATTATGAACATAACCATACCTCTATATGTGAGTTGTGCAAACATAGATCAGACGATGAGACTGAATAACCAACTGGAACCATCGGGGCCATCAGAGTGTTTGGAAATATGACAATAGTAGTACAGCATGTGACATAATGAGCCTTAAGGTGCGTCCTGTACAGGAGCCTGTATTATAACTGGTGTGCAGCATGTTCATGTGGGAACTCTGGATTTAAACTAATGAACAAAGGGTCAGTGCAGCTACAGGAGTCTGTAACGAGTTCATACAGTGATGTTTGTTTTTATTAAAGTGAATCTGTCGGCAATAAATCTGAGATAAAACCAAATAAACAAAGAGAAATCAGTGTCAGAGTGATGAATGGATCATTAACATCAGGAGGATGCAGAACATAAAAAATGCTCAACAAGCTGCAACAGGACTCTGGTTCAGTGTGTTTTGGCCTTGTCTCCAAAAACAGAGTTAAAGAGTTCAACTCTGCTGCACATGCCAAATGCATGAAGGCGATTTAACGATTGCTCAACAGTTTCCTCCCGCGAGGACTTTCTGTGTGATAAAACCACAGACACGCCACAGCACTTTCACTTTGAAACAGCAGATATGTAAAAGATGTTTCAGTGACACACAAACACTTCAGACTTTAACTCAACGCTTGTCTTTGTGTCTTTTATCAACATCTCAAAGAACGATATTTTTAATCAATCAATCAATCAATTTTATTTATAAAGCCCAATATCACAAATCACAATTTGCCTCACAGGGCTTTACAGCATACGACATCCCTCTGTCCTTATGACCCTCGATCTGACTCTGCACGTGTGTCACATATATCAGCAGTAAATACTGAGCTCCACAAACATCCAAAGATTTGTTTGTTTATTAAAACATTGTCACTGTACAAACCACAGATACGTTACATTTGTACATTTCAGACGTATCAAATCATCGTTTCTAAAGTGATGTAGTATCTGAGCTGACATCGTCATCAGGAGGAGGAGGGGCTGGTGGATGGCGTGATGCTGGAGAGACGCCTGCCAAGCTGCAGACTTCTGTTCAACAACAAACAACAACATTTTAAGAATTAAAATATTTCAGAATTGAAGTCCTGCCATGTTACGAAAATTCCTCTCTGCAGAACCTGCAGAGGGCGCCGCTCCTGTCAACAGTTTCATCTGGGTGTTTTTCAAATGTTAATGTTCCATTCACGGGGCCGAGCGGCGGCGTCTCGTCTGCCTCCATCATGTGACAAAGTTACTGTGGCTGTCAATGACGCACCGGGTCAAAGGGCACCACAAAACACCATTAATACATTTTTTAACACTTTATTTTTTCTGTGATTAATTAATTGAAATGATCACGTTACTTTGTTAGCTGTTAATGAAACCTTTTTTTTTTATATACCAAACTTTGGCAGCATTTCAGTCTGTGTTTGTGGCACCAAATCTGAGCGTGTGCAATGTGTTTCCATGTACCTGCGACATACATGACGTGCAACTGTAACATATCCGTGGTTTTCAAAAATGTAGAATACCAACTCTTATTCTGGCGACTGGGTTGAAACTATCAAACACTGATTTAAGTGGTATCACACAGGAGGGAGTGCTGCCGTACTGCCCTTCAGTACGGCGATAATCACAGCTGATATTCAATGCAACAGATCAACCTCTGGGTGACATTACTTTTATCCAGCAGTTCTATACGTGCTGTTTATCTACAGTCAAAAGTGTCTATTTATATATCGACCAGTGAAACAGCCTGTTTCCTAGAACACATGTGATGCTGATGAGTTAACAGATTAATCAGCACGTCGTCTCTGATGTCATGTGATCACACCTGGAGATTTACAGTGAAGTATTCAGGCTTCTTTCCGTCACTTCATCCTTTTCTGACTGTTCAGTATTTACGACCCTTAATGTCGGCAAACTAACAGTTAACATAATTATGGGCTCAGAGCAGCTGGAAGGCGCAGTGATACGTACACTGCTGTTAAACTGTAGATCAGCACTCATGAAATGACTCTTGGACCATCTCCAGGCTTCTACATGTTTACATAACTGTAAGATTGATAGATAACAGATACTCGACACACTCCTTTTTTAGGGAGGGAAGTCTTTTCATCAGATGAGGAAATAAAACTCTTTTTGGAGGGTTCAGAGGGTTGAACATGTTTCACCTGCTCTCGTTTTATTAAAAACATTTAATGATCGACTTGGTGCAAATGTGGAGTCAAACTCTGTCCGGTCAAATGGTGTTAAAACTGAGTGTGACTGTGACGTCTCTGCGTCACTCAGCTGTTAGATGACTGTGTGGACTCTGGCTGCTGTGTGTTTGAACATATCAGAGTCATATCAGGCAGAACGTGGTGTTGAGCAACCTGCTGCCAGCAAACGCTTCAAGAAACGTTTGCAGTTGTGACGGAGCCAAAACTGTGCAGGGTCAGATAAAGATCACATGCTTTAAATACCATGAACGTATGATGGCTTTTACTGTAAGCACTCGTCAAAGGTCGGCTGAGGGTCACAGCGGCTCCTGAAGCCTTCAGCACCAGCTGTGGGCCCCAGTGACTGATCACGGCTTCTGACAGACGTCTGCAGACATTTTAACTCCAGCTCGACTTTAACGACTCAGAAAACATCCTGAACTTTGTTTCCTCACTTTCTGACTTCCTGACTGATAAAAAGGTGACACTGACTCATTAGAACTGATAGTGTGTTTCAAATGTCAGCATTTAAACATCTTCAGGAAATGTTTCAGAGGCAGAGCGACTGTCCTGCAGACATTCAGTTTATAGCTTACAGATTTATCTTTAAAACATAAATTAGATGTTAACAGATCTGTTGTGTGAACGCTGATATAATAAATAAACTAGTGATGTGACGTTCGTGAACGAGCCGAGTCTTTGAACCGGCTCTTTGAAGTGAACGAATGAACCAGCTCTTTAGAGTGAACGAGCCAGTTCCTAATTTCTTTGTTTTTTGCTTTAATTTACTCTGTATCCATTAATTTCAGATTATTTGATCTGGAACAAGTTGAGAGAGAGTTTGTGAGGGAGAAAGACAGTGCAGCCGCTCACTCGTTCACTTCAAAGAGCTGGTTCAAAGACTTGGCTCGTTCACGAACGTCACATCACTACAATATCCAGATCACGTGATGCGATAAATCAGCAATGTGATTTGTCGTTGAACCCACTAACCACCCCCCCCCCCCCACACACACACACACACAGCAAAAACAAACAAACAAAAAAAAAAAACAACAAACGAACCGCATCTTTGAACCGTCTTTCACAAGTGAACGAGAAATCCCATCACTAAAATAAACTTTACTTACTGACTGAAATGTTCATGTACAATAGAGTGAATGAAAATATAAACTTTATGAAGTAAACTTGCTACATTTAGCTGTCGCTGCAGTGTGTCCCATACACTGATTTATTTGTCCACACAGTATCAACACTGACCAACTGGGAGGGCGCACTGGGCTCAGACCCAGGGGTCCAAAGTGCCAGGGCCCCTCTGGCCTTAACCTGCAAAGAGTCACTCAAATTAACAGGTACTGACAAGGAAGAGACTTTAAAAGACCATGAAGAGACTCAAAGACACTCTAAAGGACAACGAAGAGACTCATAAAGATTCAGAAGGACCACAGAGAGATGCAAAGAGACACCAAACCACCACAAAGTCTGTGTGTCTTGCTTCTCTGTAGGAGAGGTGGTGGGGCCCTTTGCATATCTGTGCCCAGGGGCCCACTGTCTCATCATCTGCCCCTGCTGACTGTCAACTGTCAAAACCGATAAATCGTATTGATTTGTAGAGCTGTGGGCAGCCGCCCTCCTTCTGTTAACAAAACACAAGTGAGACCAGAATTAGCAGCTGGTCGCCTCGCAGCCCCTCCGCCTCACTTCCTGCCACCAGGAGACTATGGCCCAATTCCAATCTGGCCCCTAAAGACTCAAGCCCTGAACCCTCACTGACTTAACTGACGTCAGCTGTAAGTGACTGAGTGTGAGAGTCTGAAAGGGCTCCGGATGCTACAAATAGGAATGGGACAGCAGTTATCCCCCTCTCTACAAAATGTTGTTAACATTGGCGGCTCTGGGCGTGATCGTTTATCGGTTACCATCTTAAATCCTTGTTAATGTAATGTTTCATTGTTCAATGTTTCATTGTTTATCTGTTTTTTTTCGCTCTCCTTCCATAACGTTAATGTTTGCATATCTGCCGACCGTGTTTTCGTTTTTTTTTAATAACACTTCCGGTGTTCCGAGGGCAACCCCTGTATATGACGTCACAACGCTATGAACTGTGGGTAATTTCCTTACCGTAAGTCCGCATCGATGCTGACCTACGGTAAGGGGGCATAAAGGGCTCACTCACTGACTCACTGACTTGACGATTTGACAATGGGACAGCCCTCACACACTCACGTACTTCACATGAATGCGTCTCTAAGTCAGTAAGTCTGTAAGGGATCGGATTGGAATTGGGCCTATTTGTTAAGAGGAGAGTGAGCTAGCGCCGGGTTCACAGCAGGTGGGGTCTAATCTATGTAACAGCAGCAACAGAAAGTTTGCTGATCCTGAAAGAGAGTTTCTTCTGTGGGCCGGCTGAATATGAGTCGCTGTTAGAGCAGCTGAACTTTGGTGACCTCCGACCATCCGCCATTTTCTGCTCTCTAACTTCGGTGGTGTTTTGCTTGAAACAGATTCTTTTACTTACGTTACTCACAGACTTACACAATAGTGGCGGTAACATATTTCCACCTCTGCATCTGAATTATATCATTTAAGACATTAAAAAATGGTTTTTTTTAAACTATTAAAAAATGTGACACTTAAGTGGATTATTTTTATCCGTCTGTGGTAGAAGCAGATGATCATCTGTCTCAGCTTTAAAACCTGACCCTGAGGGTTCATCAGCCTGTCTGTGTTTAAACACGATACGATACACTGACACGTCTCTGGATGTTCAGCGTCTGCTGTTACACTAACACAGGCCACACGCCTCTCACATGTATCCCGAGGACACGTTTATCTAAAGTGTCACATTCACAGAGCCGTAAATGTAAAGCTTCCCAGCATGCACTGCTCCTCAGGCTCCATAAAAGAAGCAGCATCTGCAGACTGGCTGGTTTTGACACCCGCAGTGAAAAAACAAGTTCAGCATGTGATGTTCTGCTTCCATATTTGTGCAGGACGGCGCAGACGATGTAGAGTCCACCCCGGACTGCAAACAGCCGCAGAGACACCAGGAAACGTCCCTCCTGCAGTTCCTCAAAAGTAAGTGTCCTCGTTTCCTTCTGTGTCCTGTCTGATGAGGCAACTACAGGACATCGCCACGGAACGAGGGTCACTGTGACCACGAGTCACAGCTAATAACAGGCTCCGTCCATCAGACCTCACCCACCTCTCTGTCCCCCACTGTCCCTCTGTGTCCCCACTGTCCCTCTCTGTCCTCCACTGTCCCTCTCTGTCCTCCACTGTCCCTCTCTGTCCTCCACTGTCCCTCTCTGTCCCTCTCTGTCCTCCACTGTCCCTCTCTGTCCCTCTCTGTCCTCCACTGTCCCCACTGTCCCCCTCTGTCCCTCTCTGTCCCCACTGTCTCTCTCTGTCCCCCACTTTCCCTCTCTGTCCCCACTGTCCCTCAGGTTTCCCTCGCATTGCTCTGCGGACGCTGCGGAGCCCCATCTACCTGCTGGTGGTTCTGGCACAGGTCAACCTGGCGGCGCTGCTGGCGGGTCTCGCCACCTTCATGGCCAAGTTCATAGAGAGACAGTTCACCCAGTCCGTCCCGTTTTCCACCATGATGATCGGTGAGCGTGCACGCCGCTCTGTATTTATCACGTGATTAGCTGTAGTTAAGGGAGGGAAGTTAGGATCTAATGAAACCCGGTTTCTTTCCTTCAGGAGGAGTTTGTATCCCGCTGGCGGTGCTGGGCACCGTCCTGGGTGGAGTTCTGATGCGGCGGTTGAATCTCTCAGTCAGCGGTGCCAGCAAGTTGTGCACTGCCGCCATCCTGCTGGGCATGTTCTCCTCCACGCCACTGCTGCTCATTGGCTGCCCCACGCAGAATGTCTCTGGAGTCTTTCCTGAACGGTAGCTACACCATCAGTTTACATCCATCACGTACACCACTGCTACAGACGCCTGCATGGCAGGGAACTAATTAAAGGAACTAATTTCAACACTGCTATGGAACTAATTTGAGAAAATTTGACAGGGAACTAATTTAACTATTGGCAGGGAACTATTTTCACTACTGAGAGGGAACTAAGTTTTACTACTGACAGGGATTTAATTTCACAATTGACAGGGAACTAATTTTAAAACTGTCAGGGAACTAATTTCACCACTGAAAAACGAAACAAGTGCACTACTGGCAGGGAACTAATATCACCCCTAACAGGGAACTAATTTTACCATTGCCAAGGAATTCATTTTACCAATAGCAGGGAACAAACTTCAACACTGACAGGGAACTTATTTTATCACTGACAGGGAACTAACTTTAGTGTTAACAGGGCACTAATTTCACCAGTAAACTAATGTCACTACAGACATGGAACTACTTTCACGACTCACAAGGAACTAATTTCACTTTTCACAGGGAACTACTTAAACTACTATCAGGGAACTAATTTCAAAGCTGAAAGGAAACTAATTTCATCACTGACACTGAACTATTTTTTAATTGAAGTATTTCATTACTGAGAGGGAACTAATATCATCCCTAATAAGGAACTAATTTCACAGTTGATATAGAACTAATTTCGCCACCGACAGTAAACAAATTTCAACACGGACAGGGAACTTATTAAACTATTGAGAGAACTATTTTAAGACTACTGCAGGGAACTATTTTTTTTACACTGGCATGGAACTAACTTAACTATTAACAGGGAACTAATTTCATTGCTGGTAGAGAACTAATTTCACCACCAACAGGGAATACATTTCATCACTTATGGGGAACAGTTTCACCATCGTTAGGGAACTCATATTACAATTGACAAAGAACTTGTTTTACCAATGACAGGGAACAAATTTCAACACTGTCAGGGAACTTATTACACTACTGACAGGGAACTTATTTTACCACTGACAGGGAACTAACTTCATTATTATCAGGGAACTAATTTTACAGCTGAAAGGGAACTAAATTCACTGAGGACATGGAACTACTGTTACTACTCACAAGGAACTGATTTCATTTTTGACAGGGAACTAATTTCACAGCAGAAAGGAAACTCATTTCACCACTGACACTAAACTAATTTCTTAAATGATAGGGAAGTAATTTCACAACTGGGAGGAGACTAATATCATTCCTAATAGGGAACTAATTGCACTATTGCTTGGGGACTAATTTCACCATGAAAGGGAACTAATTTCACCACTGTCAGGGAACTCATTTTTGTTATATTAGGGAACAAATTATAACACTGACAGGGAACTTATTACACTGCTGACAGGACACTTTTTTTTTTTTTTTTACCACGGACACAGAACTAACTGTACTATTAAAAAGGAACTAATTTCACCACTGACAGGGAACAATTTCACAATCATCAATCATCAGGAAACCACTTTCACCACTGAAAGACAGGTAATTCAACTATTCACAAGGAACTAATTTCCCTGCCATGAGGGAACTGATTTCACCACTGAGAGGGAACTTATATAAAATGTTTTGTGATCACAGACCTTAAAGCCAAACTAATGTGTGTGTGTGTGTGTGTGTGTTCAGCAGTGACATGTTGTCGTGCAGCGCTGACTGTCGGTGTCCTCAGGAGGCCTTTAACCCCGTCTGCAGTTCAGATGGTGTTGAGTTCAGGTCCCCCTGCCACGCCGGCTGTAACACCATAGAAAAATTTTTCGGTGACAAGCCAAACATGGTAAGGATGATCTTATCACTTCGCTTTGAGACTGTCAAACACATTTTCATCCACATCCAGATGAATAAACACAGAACTTAGTAAAATGATTGTGTCCAAATATTGTGGTTCAGTTTTAAAGTGTTTCATGTTTTAATTGAAACTGAGGTGGTGTTCAGTAACAGAGAAGCACTCAGCTCTCAGTCTGTTCCCTTTAACTCTCTCAGTGTTGGTGGTTCCTTGTAAAGTGGGTGACCTCACATCTCGTCTTCTGGTGAATACTCTTTTGTGTCATTCAGAGCAGCAGGCAGCAGAGACTGTGTCCATCCTTCAGATATTAACTGTTAAATATCCTCTGTCTTCATCTGACTGTCCGTCCAACAGTCACACCCTGTTCTTCATTCCTTTTTATTCCCAGTCCATCTTCCTCCTCCTGTTCCCTCAGCGTCTGTTTCTGTGAAAGTCTTGATTCACAGCAGACAGCATTAACATGCACGGACACCAACCACAGCTCTCAGTGTGACCCTCAGTTAGTCAAAGAACTGAGAGCTGCTGGAGGCCGAGGGAAATGTTCACACAGAAACTATGTGGACACATCGATGTGATCTGATGGGGGCGCTAGAGGAAAGATCAGGTGTCCCTTAAGTGTTTCAGGATTAAAACTTTGACAGATGTTAGTGAGAATATTTTGCTTGAGACTGTAGAAGTGTTGAGAGTAACACACTCGTCACTGAGCCAAAAACAGAAACCACAGCACTGCAAAGACGTCCTCTGATTGGTGGATCCTGATTTCATGGAAGAGGCCGAGAGAAATGACATAATTATGAAAAAAATGAATATGAAAAACTTTAATAAAAACTTTAATAAAAACTTAAATTTTTCCATTTTAGTTTTATGTGTTAAAACATAAAATAATCTGTAGTCTGATCAGATTTCAGCTATCAGATAGGATCAGATCTTGAAAATGGGTTGTTCTTCCTGTGCAGCAAATATGTCACATATTCCCAAAGTGACCAATCTGTACATGATCATGTGGCCTGAAGTGACACAGATGTGCACCGAGCCAGATGTGGTGTCAATGGACCGTCCACCGATAATGTGCGGTGTGACAGCGGTGCTGCAGCCTTCATCGTATGTGGTGATGAGTCAGCGTCAGCAGGGTCGTCCTCAGCTGTGGCTTCAGGAGGTAGTGGGGGGGGGACAGCAGGAATCTCGTTCATCCATTCATGAGCGTTACTCATGAGATGATGAAGTGTTTGAATATGGATCTCTGAAGGTCACCAAAGTCCACTTCCTGCCAATTTCGAAACTGAGCAGCCACTTCCTCTCTCAGTTTCTTTATTTTCACTGAACATTATTCTTCACTGTTGTTTTCTTTAATTTTTATTTTAACACTGGAAGAAATTCTGCAGTTTTAAATCTGAAAATGAAAATAACTGACACAGGTGTGCAGGAAGTGACATCATGTCCAGATGTTTGATTGTTTTAAAGCCTCACAGGAGAAGGGAGCGTACTGACAGGAATGCATCAGAGGACGGGTGGAGTGACTCTGACAGTCCTCAGCTGGACGCCGTTCCCACGTGGCTCTGAGCGAACGAGGAAAGCTGACACTTCCGAGCAGTGACTAATTACACATTCCTCACACACAGGCTGTGACATAATAACTTGACACAGATGGAGGTCAACGCCTCACCAGCAGCCGCGAGTTTCCCAGGAAGTGAAACATTTTTATTGTCAGAGTGAAAGTGAAAAAAATACAAGCTGCTTTATTTCAGCTGAATTCTGCCGATCACACGTGTCCTCCTCCGCTCCTGTCAGTGTGACTGTTTGTGCAGTCTGGATTTACTCAAGTACTAAAGTACACACAGATTGTAGCTGTGAGCTGTTGAGTAACACACACTCACACACTGATGTTGAAATTCACCACGAGCTCCAGTTCTTTCTGTTACTTTCCTTTCTGGAGCTTCAACAAACTGTTGCTTCATAACGATGAGCTGATGACAGATGTCTGCTGTGTTTCTCAGAGCTGAACTATGATGACTTGTTCAGATGTATTTTTTTCTTACTCTGCCTCTGATTGGCTCACCCCAACATTCTTATCCTAACTCAAGCTAACCCCACTCCTCTGACCTAAACGACGCCATCGGGCACCGTTACAGAGCCACAGTGACCAGCTGTGTATCATGCTGACGAAAAAAGGCGCCTTTTTCCGTTGGTGTCTGATGCTGAAAGTCACTGACCAGGCGTTGGTTTTTGACAACTTTGGTCGGTTTATCTCAGTCACTACACGCTCAGTTTGAATGATCTTTCCTGTAGCGCCCCCCTCAGGACAAACTCTACAGTTCAGATTCTGATAAATCTTCAGGATGTTCACACTGTGTCTGTAACGATGGCTGCAGCCTGTAGGGGGCTCCCTCTCACCCTGTGTGTGTGTGTGTGTGTCTTACTGTCTGTGTAGACCTACACTGACTGTCGGTGTGTCGGCGGTCTGGGCGTGGCTTATCCTGGGACCTGCGGCAGCGGATGCTCCCACCTCCTGCTCCCATTTGTGGCTCTGCTCGGCCTCACCGCCTTCATCGCCTCCTTCTCACAGACGCCCTCCTACATGATGATACTCAGGTATGACAACATGAAAAATGACTGTTTATAGCCGCAGTGTTTCTGTGTCAGTGTTGTTGCAAAGACGTCCAGATCACCAAAAAGACAAAACCACCACCAACACAGTTAGGTCAGCTGAGATCTAACAGGAAAAATAAAGTGTTATCGTCTTCCTGTTTTGGTTGCACAGTGGTTGACGCACTTCCTTTGTGCTGTAAATGGAGCCTTCATTTTTCATCCAGTTGGTTTGCCCCCTCAGTGCGGTTCGTTTGTGCAGGTGTGAACACACCAAACCAACCGGACTGAGACCTTCTTGAAGAGGTGGTCTCAGTCCGGTTCCAAAGGAACTCTGGTGCGGTTGGTTTGTGGTGAGAAGGTGTTCCGACCTGGATGTGAAGCAACTGCAGTCACATGACACATTGTTTGGGTTAAACATGAGCATGTTACAGTCCTGGAGGATTATTAATGTGCACCTCCTCCTGTACTGCCTTAATATGCACATTCAGCACATCCAATGCATCAAAACATTGTTTTCTAGTTGGAGCCGCGCCTCGTTTTCAAACTGTATGGTTTGACTAAAATGAACAATGACAGCAATATAGTCCACGATGAGCAGCGCTAAAATCAACCTGCGTAGTTGTCCCTCCATTGTGACATTAGAAAGTGTCACATTAATCTTGCAAGTGTACTCTTCTTCAACGTTTGCTTTACTTCCTGGATTTTTCCCACATGGAAATTCTGACCAATCAAGAGCAGCTTTCTCACACAAGGCATTTGATCTGGTCCTCTTGTAAATGCTGCCGTGAGAACACCAACCAACTCTAGGCAATTATACAACTTTGGAACAACATGAGTCCCTGATTCAGACCACAGGAGACCACTCTAGGCTGACAGCAGCCTGAAGTTAAAACAGAAAACTGCTCTGTTTCCACTTCAATGAGTCATAAATAAAACCGTCGACATTCACCATCTACAACAGAATTCATTTTTCTAATAGTTTTCTGTGAGCGTAAAGTGTTTTACTTGCTGCTTTTGTGTTGCTGAGCGCCCTGAACACCTTTGGTCAGTAAATCTGTGAGTAGATCTGCACATAAAAAACCTCGGTACTAAAATCCGCAGCAGAAAACTCAGATTTGATCAGAGACACGTGTGTATGTTCATGAATCAGTCGTCAATTGACAGAACGTTCCTCCTCGTCAGCAATCAGCCCATGAATATCCAGTGACACCATATACGGAGGTGATATTTACTGTGGACTGGTGCATCCTGTCGACCTGTGGACACATGGAGCAAACAGAGACAGAGAAAAACTTTTCCAACGCTGAGGCTGAAGTTATTTTAGAGTTGAGTTAAAATATATAATGTTTTATTATTAGCAGTGTGACAGGGACAGGTAATCAGTGCTGCGTGTCCTCTGTTGAAAGGAAAGTTAAACCAAAATGGTCTAATATAAAACTTGATGCAAAAACCACAGCAGCAGCAGGACTCTGACACAAACACATAAAATGGGATTATTTTTCTTCATGGTTACAAAAAGCTACGACAACCTCCGTCTCTGCTGCAGAGAGTGAGGTTTGCCCCAGAGCTGCTGCTGTATTTAAACCCTCCACCCTCCAGCTGTGAAGGTGACCACAGATGGAGTTACGCTCTGTGACGGAGCAGGACTGAGAAGGTTTCGGTTCAGGAAAGGCCGGCGAGTCTCACAGATCTCTGTCTCTCTGGGCCTTTCCAAACCGAACCCTGCCCACTCCCACTCCGTCTGTAGTCGCTTCCACAGCTGAATGAAGCTCCTTCATCGAGGTGTGGGGTGTAAACACAGCGGCAGCTTTGGAACAAACTTCAGCGAAAAAAGGAGCCGTGGTTATGTTTGGTAACCATGGAGAGAAATCTAATTACTGCCATTATATCTTCTTTATTTATCCTCTTTTTATGACTTTTATTTGACTCATGCTGCGTATGGCCCCGTTCAGATGTAGCATCTAAAAGCGCGTGGAAAACGTCAGCTGTGCCGTTTCCATCCTTTTATCCAAGGCGCTTCGGAGGTTGTGCTACTGCCGTTACTAAGCAACCAAAACCGCCTGTCACTCACAGGGCACAACCGTTAGCCATAAAAATAGCGTATCATCACGCTCACCAGTTATCCCAAGCTCCGAGCTGATAATTCTCCAGGCATTGTTCCTTCTGTTGGAGTCAAAGTAGTACGACGAAGACAGGTCATATAACTCTGGGTATCCCTGGACAAAAATGATCAGTCACTCCTCCGTTGCTTTCTGCCTTTCACACCACCGGATGTTGTGAAGTCCGTTGGACGGAAAGGAAGAAGCACGTCCGTTGAGCTGATTGGTTAAAGGGAAATTTCGGTTTATTTCAACCTGTCTCCTATCGTCCTAAATTCGTTTCAAATTACCAACATCTCCATGCTGTCTAGATGCAATATGTGTATTTCCAGATTTTTGTTTCAATAACTGAATTTTTTACAGTGGTTTGAAATCTGCTTTTCCATGCATGGACGGCTGCTAAACCTGCACGTCTGGCTTAGTCAGTTTGTGAAGCTACACATGAATTGTCACTGACTAATTAGCTCAGTGAGATAGAAATTGATTCTTAGTCTCAGAGGTTGTGAGTTCAAGCCTCAGCTGATGAAAAAGGCAGATTGTGTTGTTAAATTCCTAAATGTCTTCTAATTCTTCTGCTTGTTGCTCAGAATCGCCTAAAAATGCCCGGACCCGACCCATTGCTGCGCAGCAGCTATAATTTTGTTTATCCTCTGGGATTATTCTGTCATGACACTCCTCTGATCACAGAGATAAATCTGTACAGGTGTCTGTAGGAAGTGGATCCACCTGGTAACTCCAGCTGATTGGACACAAAGACACACACCTGAGCTGTGTGTTTAAATCCACCATGATCATCAGAGCAGAAACAAACTCTAGAAATAAAGTTCACTCATTAAAGTCTGAATATTTTAAAACTGAGCTGCTGATGCTCAGACACAGAGTGAGGAGCTGCTCACAGCTGCAAGGCATTAAAACAAAGTCCAGATGGAAACAAAAGAAAAGTATTGTAGGTCAGAGAGGAGAAAGTTTTATCATTTTTCCTCTCGCCTCTTTAAAGCACAGTCAGATTCTTTGAGAAGAGACTTTATTATCCTCACCTGAGCCTCACCTGTTCTCCATCTGATAATCAGCCGCAGGTGTTTAAAGCTCCGACAGTCACAGGCTGTCACGTCATTTATCTTCTCAGGCTGCTGCTGCCGGGATGTTAGAGTCAAACAGTAACTCTGAGCGTCAAGGTTTAACCCTCCACATGATCCACCAGAGAGATGTTTGATCAGGTTTAATCTGACGGTGTTCAGGTGCTGCACATAATGCACCTCTCTCAGAGCAGTGTGGACAGAAAAAAGCAGCAGAGCATGACGCTGACAGAAGGTCAGACCTGACCTGAGATCAGCAGGAGAGTCACAGCCTTCAAACTACAGCTGCAACAAATACATAACAGAAAATTAAAAAAGCCAAACACCAGAAAATTGTTGGCATCGTACGTTTCTGCAAACCACAGCGACATCTGTGTGTTTCATACGTATCAGCGATTCTGATGTGTCATCGTTCAGATCACATGTGTATGAGATGAGCTTCTCATCAGCAGCTGTTTGTGACTTTACATTTCAACTACACTGTGCTTAATGTCATCATCACCTCTGTGTGTGTGTGTGTGTGTGTGTGTGTGCTGCAGGACGGTGCCCACAGAGGACAAGTCTTTTGCAGTTGGAGTTCAGTACATGTTGTTCAGAGTGCTCGGTGAGTCCGTCAGACACAAACTCTTCAAACTTAAGAGATGCCTCACATGTTTACGGCTGAACAACAGGTTCTGTTATTGTTTACTATTGTTGTTTGTTAGCCTCCTCCACCATCACCTCATTTTTTGTTGTGTGAAACTTTTACCTTTGCCCTGTAGTGCCATCTATTGGCTGTATCTATGACAACATGAAGGACAGTGACATCACAGCATTTAAATGACAACATTTAAAATAAACGTGTCTGTTTTTGTACTTAAAGGAAGAATAAACGAGACACAGCAGGACGCAGAGAAATGTAGTTATATCGCTTCAGTCATGAGTTGTAAGAAATCTGTGTGTGTGTGTGTGTGTGTGTGTGTGTGTGTGTGTGCAGCATTCATGCCCGGCCCGGTGTTGTACGGCAGTGTCATCGACACCACCTGCATCCTGTGGGGCAAAAAGTGCGGCAAGCAGACTTCCTGTCAGTACTACGACCTGGACCGCTTCAGACAGAGGTGAGTCTGGAGACTGTTATCAAAGGAGGAGCTTTTATTTTGAAGGGCAGACTTTGTCAGCACATTGTCCTTGTGAGGGGAATTAACATTTGAGTAATTAAATTGTCTCCATGTTTCTGTCAACAGGACAAAATGTCTCAGTGTTCAGAGGCATGAAATGAAATTCAGCCCTTAAAGGCATAGTGCACCCAAAAATGAAAATTCAGCCATTATCTACTCACCCATATGACGAGGGAGGCTCAGGTGAAGTTTTAGAGTCCTCACATCACTTGCAGAGATCCAAGGGGAGAGGAGGTAGCAACACAACTCCACCTAATGGAGGCTGACGGCGCCCCAGATTCAAACGTCCAAAAACACATAAATGAAACCACAAAATATCTCCATACTGCTCGTCCGTAGTGATCCAAGTGTCCTGAAGCCCCGACATAAAAAGTTGTTTGGAAAAACCTCATTTGAACTCTGTTTTTAGCCTCATTGTAGACTGTAGCTCTGACTGCCTCTCTGAGCACCGAGCTCACGTGTGTGCACTTGTGCGAGAGCATGAGACATGGGCACCACGTTTATGTGTGTTCATGTGCTTTCGCTGGTCTGCGTGCAAGCACACACACGTGAGCGCAGGACGTTTGAATCTGGGGCGCCATCAGCCTCCATTAGGTGGAGTTGTGTTGCTACCTCCTCTCCCCTTGGATCTCTGCAAGTGATGTGAGGACTCTAAAACTTCACCTGAGCCTCCCTCGGCATATGGGTGAGTAGATAATGGCTGAATTTACATTTTTGGGTGCACTATCCCTTTAAGTTGTTCGCAGCCTTCTTCCAATGCTCTTGAAAGAAATCATTTGCTGAGGTTTAAAGAGTGCTCATTGTTTCGGTTTATTGACAACACTGTTAAAAATTAATGAGATCCCACAGCCGGAGTTTGTCAGGGACCGGACAATAAAGTCCTGGACTGGTTCCCATCATTGTTTCACAGTCCACCACATGTTTATCAGGACGGAGACAGACGATGTCCAACGTTCAGAAAAACCATATAATCAAACATCAGGTACAGTTTCTCAGGAGGGAGACATGATGAAGGTATTACAGACACCCGAAAAGTCAAATGATAAAATAGGGATGTATGAAATAATTTATCATGCAAAAATTAATGAAATTAAAATTCTAAAAACAAAATGAAAGATTTAAAATTCTAGCTGCAAGTGGAGATTTTCAGGTTCAAGCCTGCACAGACTGTCAGGAGATAAATGCTGCGAAGGATTGAGACCTTTGACGGTTCCCAGCACCTCCATTAAAGACAACTAACAGGTTTTATGACTGTTGGACATTGTTTACGAGCAAATGTGTGCCGCGCCCTTTTTGGCAAGGCCAGTTTATAGAGCTCATTCCAGTAACAAGACAATTCAAACTGCTGCACATGAAATATAAAAGAATAATAAATACAGTTTAAAAACATGTTTAAAGAGCTGCAGAGTAGAAAATAAAACAAGACTAAAACAGGTGTAAAATACAAGAGTCAAAGTTTCAGTTCAGTGTGAGAAATGAATAAATGTCTGATTTAATGAAAGACGGCGGCAGAAAACAGGAAAGTCTTCGGTCTTGGTTTAGAGGAGGTGAGAGTTGGTGCACATGTGTGGAGCATTCAAACTAAATGCTGCTTGACTGTGTGGACACAAAGCAGACCTGTGCCTGAAGACCTGAGAGGTCTGGAAGGTTCATGGTGTGACAGAAGGTCAGAAACTACTGAGTGATTTATAAACCATGAGAAAAACTGTAGAAAAGCACGCACATCCCAGACAAAAAAAGTGAAATGAATAAAAGGAATAAAGTCTGCACATCAGAGATAGCTCCAAAAGTCAGTTTTTAATGAGTTGTGACGACATGTGACGTTTCGGGTCACTGCCCTTCTTCAGACTGAAGAAACTGCTGATACTTCATTAAAAACTGGCTTTTGGAGCTATCTGTGGTTTATAAACCATCCATCCATTTTCAGCCGCTTATCTGAGTGAGTGTTGTGAAGACATCAGGCTGAGCAAAGCACCCCAGACGTCCCTCTGACCAGCAACACTCTCCAGCTCAGTTGTTGAACCACCTCAATTGACCCCTTTCAACATGAAGGAGCAGCGGCTCTACTCCGAGCTCCCTCCAGATGTCTGACTCCTCCCCCTATCTCTAAAGGCCCGAACATACTCGGGCATACTATAAGTGGAGCGGACTCTGAGAGGAATGTCCGCAGTCATTTGGGCTTTCATAGTCGAGCGCACTTCCGCATTGTAGTTTCCTGTAAAAATGTAGGTGAAAAATCCCCGCAATGTGAAAAATACATGCCGAGCAGTCACTGGTGCGCGGAGCGGAGTCCGCGCGGTCGTAAAATCTGAGCTTTGCGCACACAGGGCTTGCAACAGATAGTAATAATCAGGAGGATGAGGATGAAGATGAAGAGGAGGAGGAGGAGGATAGCTCCGCCCCTTCATGCAGCTGTGGGGTCAAATGAAAGACAGGGAGGAAGTGATGACAGTCAGATAGGTGGCTCTCTCCAGTGGAGAGAGGCAGAGGAGGAAATGTGTCTTTTCATTTTGTCACATATTGTGAATTTCCACAATGAATAGAAGAATAAAACGCACCTGACTCAGTGTGCAGAGGCCTTTTTAGTCTGATTTGTGTTACGACACGCCCATTTTTTTGAGTTGTAGCGCCCCTTAGTGCCTGACTTGAATGACACTTCGGTATGTTTCAGGCACTTTTTTAGACAACTGCAACTTTCTTGATGATTGGACGATTACAGAGTTAGGATCTATTTGTGCTGAGCCACGCCCCCTCTAATGCTCATTGGTCAGTATTTTTAGAACACAACAAGATTGATCCACAAGCATTTGATGTTTTTGATAACTTAGATCTTGTATCGATCCACAGAAAATGTGGTACAGTTGGGTCCTACGGTTCAGGAGGATGAGTCAAAACTCAATCTTACAGCGTAGGAGTCATGACTTTGTAAAGTTAACCTTTTACGTATAGCGCCCCCATCAGGCTGATTAGGGTAACATTTGTTGAGCAGCATTTGGACACATTTTATGAGGATTTGTACAAATGATCAGGAAGAAAAAAATATTCAGCACAAAAACAAAAGTTTCAATCTTTGTCTCAAACGTTCGGGTCCGTCTGTAAATTATAATGACAAAAACTGTTCCTGAGTGTGACGTAATAAATTTCCTGTGTGATTCTGAAAGTCCTGACTTTTCTTCAGCTGTCAGCCTGGACACCAAAACAACGCTGTCCGTGACCACCTGTGTGTTTGTGTTTGCAGGTTTCTGGGCCTGCAGGTGGTCTTTGTGTGCGGGGCGCTGCTCTGCTTCCTGCTGACCGTCATGGTCCTGCGTAGGAGGGCCGGACGCCAGGAGCCTCAGCAGAAAAGTAAACGAGGCTACGAGATGGTGAACGACCAGAAAACACCTGAGAACACTTTGTGTAAAGAAAAAGAACTGATGAGCATCAAGACCTGATGAAACACAAGGAGAGGACGCAGGGAGAGAGAGACGCAGAGACGCTGGACGAGGACAAAGTGGTCGTAAAGGAACAGGAAGCTGCTGCGCTGACAAAGCTGCGACCAGTCAGTCTGCATAACGAGGCTGAGACACTTTCTCAAATTTGATTTTTTTAGCCCAGTCACCAGAAGAAAATGTTGGTATTGTATGTTTCTGCAAACCACAGATATATTACATTGGTACGTTTCATATGTATCATATAAGCATTTCTAAAGTGAGTTAGTGTATGAGCTGACTTCATCAGGGGATGGTGGATGGTTTAACACTTAGGAGAAGCGGCTGCTAAGCTGCAGACCACAGTGACAGACGACAACATCCCAAACAGTGTTTTCAGTGACCCTTTGCTGTTTTTCCCGCCTTGATAGTGCCACGAAAAGTGGTTGTTTTTTACCGAGACGTCACTGTGTTTCCAGCGGGGATAGTGCCATGAAAAGTAGTTGTGTTTTTACCAAGATATTGCTGCATTCCAGTCAGGATAGTGCCAAAGAAAGCATTTCTTCTACCGTGACACCACTGCCTTTCCAGCGAAATGGAGGCACAAAAATTAGTTATTTTCTTCTGAGACATTGCTGCATTTCCTGCTGGGATAGTGCCACAAAAAGGGGCTTTTTTCACCATGACATCACTGTGTTTCCAGCGAAGACAGTGCCATGAGAAACGGTTGTTTTAACAGAAACAGGGATGGTCACACTTAAAGTAGTTATGTTTTCCTGAGACATCGCTGTATTTCCAGCAGAGATTGAAAACTGTATTTTAAGCCAAAACATAATCTTTTTTCAAACCATAACTAAGCTGTTTTAGTGCCTAACCCTAACCACACAGTGTTGGTTAAGTTTCAGTGTTTCCACTACATTATAAGAAGTAACGTATCCATGGTTTGCAGAAACAAACAGTGGCAGCATTTCCTCTGGTGACTGGTTTGTCTTTACGCTCGGCTCACACTCCAGTTGGACCACTGGTGTGTTTGTACATAAGCTGATTCATATATTCTGACATATGATCTATACACTGTTTTTTATACGACGCTCAAACAGTCACCTCAACGTATAAAATGGGGCTGGTGTTTAATAAGCTGCAGTTCCTCTAATGGCCTCTAGATGCTGCTCAAAGCCAACTGTGACTGTGTTGAAGTGAATGAGAAAACTCAAGAGACAGCGATGAAATATATCAGCAACTGTTGGATGGATTGTGATGAAAGTTTTTTCAGACTTTCATGTTTCCAAGCGGATGAATCCTACTGACTCTGGTGACCCTTTGACTCTTTCTTTAGCGCCATCATCTGGCCAAAACTTATAATTGTCCAGTACTACCAGTACATACTATCCAGTAAAATATCTCAGCATCTGCTCGGTGGATTGGAGCAATATTTGGTAAAAACAGAAGGATGACTCCCACTGACTTTGGTGATCCCTTGACTTTTTCCTAGCGCCACCTGCAGGTAGAATTTTCCAGACGGGATGAATTGTAATAACTTAACTGATCCCAACGATGCCAGACACGTCCAAGTGCAGCACTGTGGTTTATGACCATAATACTACAGAATTAATTATATTCACTTCAGCCTCATTCTGTATTTACTGCTAATTAGCTAATATTAGCACTCTAACACAGCGATGGTGAACATGGTAGTAAACACCCAAATATTAACCTTGACATTGCCAGGTTAGCATTTAGCTCAAAGTTAATGTGGCAACCTGGTCTCACGCTGAAAAACCGCCACTTGGTCAGTGACTTCTGGCGTCAGACAGGAAACACGGCTGGACAACAACGAAAATTAAGGTGGCGGAAGTCTGAGTAGGGCGAGTGTGAGGCGTCCAGCGATCACCAACTTTCACCCAGGAGGCCGGTGTTCACTTCCTGTGAGACTGTAATGCCAAACCCTGTTCTTTTGTCCTAAACCCAGCCACGTGTGTGTGTGTTGTTGAAGGAAAAAAAAACATCAGTTGGTGGTGTTGTACTGACGTAGTGCTTTTATTTTGAAAGAGACTGTATCAAACTGTACATTTCCTGTGAAAACAGAAGTGTATTTTGAAAACAGACAATGCATGTAACAGGCTGAAGTTGACACGGCGTCCCAGAACGTCAACAACCAACACACCCAGGGTACCTTGGACCTGGACATGTGACGAGGTCACAGTGAGGATGAGTTGAATGTGGATGAAAGCTAAAAATGGAACGATTCCCACCTCAATGACTTGCAGGTGTCACACCATGATGATGGTTGTTTGATTGGAGTCGGTTGTGCTTGGATTAAAATAGCGTGCACTGACAAGGTGACACAGCACCCATTATATCTAGGTTAAATCACACTGAGCCACAGACAGTGTCGTCAGGTATTCTTTAGAGCCATGTCGGACATATTTTACAAAAAAAATACTTAGCAGTCGTGTTTTTGTCTAATTTTTGTCATTTTGTATTAAAACAGGACTTTTACTATGAAAATCAAAACCGTATATATATATATTTTTATAACCAAAGAAAATTCATAACAAGATATATTGTAATAGATTTCTTTTTTTATCAAATGTTATTTGATGTGTTCTTTTTATATTTTTTTCTGATGGACTTTTTAACAAAACTTACAGAAATCCATCTTCAGACAAAATGAGTTTCACCTTCGCTGAACTTCATCTCTAACGCTCACATCAACCACGACAGTCTGAACCTCTTCAATCATATCGTTCTGTTTTTACTTCAATTAAAGGACATTTTCTTAGAATTAATTTCTTTAAATGATTTTGTGCCTTGTTTTGTAAATGTTTATAATATACATTATAAAATGTGATGATATTATTTTTGTAAAGAGCCAATGAAGAGGAATGACTCAATTCTGAGGATCTGAAAGACTGTTGTTTCCAAAAAAAAAACAAAAAAAAAAAAAAAAACAAAAAAGAAGACGAAATTAAAAACTGTCTTTTGTTATTTGGGGTCTCTGAGTGTTTCTTATTAAAAATCTAATTCTTATTATAAAGTGTGAACTGTGTGTGTGTGTGTGTGTGTGTGTGACAGAGAGAAGAGTTTCTTTAAAATGTGGACTTAGACAAAGTTTTATTGATCAAGTTCACAAACTGGTCTGATAAAATGATAAAATAATATTTTTCTGTGAGCTTTATTCGCTGGACTTTAACTTTCTGATTCTCAGTTTATTCTCAAATGAAAGCAGAAGCTCAGGTATTTGTGATCTGTGACACGTCTGATTTTGGCCTCATTCAGTAAACAGATACTGTTGGCATCATCATCATCATTATCATCATCATCATCATCAAACTTCCTCAGCCTTTTGAAAAGTATACATTAAGACCTATTAAAACCAGTCTGCACTCAGTCAAATGCACACTGAGGATCCAACACAACTTGTTCCACAAACAGTGCTTCAGTATAAATGACGGTATCATCTGCAAATAAAATTGTGCTTTGCAGTTTTCTGCTGAGGCAAAAATATAATTTATACACAAAGTGAGGTTATTGTTTATGAATCAAAGTAGGGCTGCGCAATAAATTGATTTTGTACAATATATTGATGTATTTTCAAGCAGCATATGAATTATGAAAAGACTCTTTATATCCATATAGGATCAAGTTGGCCACATAACTATACAAGTGTTCATCTGTCCTGTCACACAGCTCTGCCCCCTCACTCACTAGGCCCGTTTCCACTGAAGAAGTTCCTGGTACTATTTGAGGGGCAGGAACTACTACAGGAACGTCCTCTCGTTCGGCCCTCTCAACCGCCGTGTCTCCACTGAGGTAGTCTGGGGCCGTTAGTGGCCGTTTTGGTAAGGAAACGGAACCAGGGCGAGTGAGACAGGATCCGGAATTCAATGGATGTGCCTTTCCGTAAAAATAAAAGCACCAAGCTAATAAAAATGCGGTGAAACTTTTAATTTAAAGAATATAATTTACAAGAAAAGCCCCAAGCCATTACGTTAATCGATTTTCTTACACCCCTCATCACCCCAAATCGATGGTGCGCCAGAATTTAAAGTTTTACTATGGTGAACACTTTTAGTTTGGTGAATTTGGTGAATACCGCATCCGCTCCCTAGACCGGAACCAGAATCCAGACAAAATTCAGAGTGAATAGACACTGAAGAAGTTCCTGGTACAAGGCACCACTACCTGGTTCCTGTAAAGTTACGGGCTGCCTCTGGATGTGACGTAATCGTTGCGCGACCATTTTGGCCGGGGCGACGTAGGGACGCCGTTAGCCGATAGCGGTGTCTGTAATAACTCACTAAATGGCCTGTGAAAAAAATATTTTTTCCAGCGGATGTCTTAGTTACAACATGAAAGAGCTAACTGGAGTAGTTTCATGTCGTATCAGACAACGGGAGGCTTTTAACAGATGACGTCCTGATGTTAGCTTTGCTGCTAGTGTTAGCTGTCCCTGTCAGCTGATGCTTTCTAGACATTGTGATTTCCCAAAACTGAATAAATACCACACATAGCAACACAAAACTGCTTTGCTAGCTCAATCATGTTGTAACTAAGATATCCGCTGGAAAAAATATTTTTTTCACAGGCTATTTAGTGAGTTTTTTTTACATGGCGGTGGAAGCTATATGAACGAGCTAACCCTCGTCTGCTGAGTTTTAAAAATGCCGGCTATTTTGTTGCTTTCTGTTGACGTCACATCCCTCCTTGAGTATATCCAATCAGCACCAAGTAATCCCCAAGCCCCAGCCAGGAGTCTTTCGGGGCCGTTCTGAGTACCTACCCCGAGGCAGGGACTTGTTTAGCCCCTGTAAAAGTTCTGGAACTCTGTCCTTCAGGGGTGGTTCCTGCGCTGGAGACACGCACCAACGGCCCCGGCCCCGTAAAATTACCCCGAAGTTCCTGCGGTGGAAACGGGCCTACTCACTCACTCAATCACTCACTCACTCACAGTTTCTCCATCAACACTCAGAGACACAGAGCTGCTCTTCTGTTTAATCTGTCTGTTCATTAGTCTACAGTGAGACATCGGTCTATATGCTGCACGAGCTAAGCTACATCAGTCTGTGAGATGAATGAAGTTACCGCAGCAGCACACGTACGACACTGTGGGCCTTTAACTCTGTAACTTCTGGCCACATCCAGTCAAGCCATGCTGCGCAGATTTATGTTTCTGTTATCAGTGTAGACGCCTGGTGCCACGCCGAGCTGTGCACCTACTCCTTCTCTGGAGTAGGGCCGCCGGCACTCAAGCGGGTAGCGGTGGCATCTTGCCAACAGCAGCCAACCCCTGTTTCTCCCCCCTCGTGTGTGCTGTTAGACTCTCCTCCCTCTGTCTGCAGCAGACCAGAGAGACAGGAGCATTTAAAAGTCTCTGTGTGTTCAGCTCTCAGTACGTCTGTAGCTTCTAACTGAATCTCTGAGGTTTGGAGTTCAGTTTTTCTCCTGCGTCCTGTTTGTACTTTACATATCTGCTTTATTTTACTGTTTCATGTTCACTATCAGCTGGATTAGAAGCTGTGTGAAGCTGCTGCTCGAAAACTCAACATTTTCTTATTTTGCTGCTTCACAATAAAAGTTTTTACAAAACAAAATTACTGGGAACTTTTCTTTTTAAGATTCTACAGGAATTAGAATATGTTTATCACGGAATTAGCAAAACTTTATTTGTGGCTTTTCTTCAATAGAGGCAAGTCTAATGATACAGCAGAGAGGAAGAGTGAAATCAGGAACAGCCACAGTGAGATGTTGATGAAGAGCTGCAGACAAACAGCTTACCTCCAGCAGGTAAACTTCTTTAACCTGCTCTGCTGTGGAAAACCACATACAGCAACAATAACGGGGGATCAGCCTGCAACTGAACATGTCGCCTGCTTAGTAGAAAATAACGGGACATATAGGCTATCGTGTATAACCATTCAGCCTGAAAATACCGAGATGAGTCTGAGCGACTTTTCCTAAATCTGAACACACAGATGAAGTTTTTTTAGTTTATTTCATGTCCTGCAGCTTTGTGATTCTAATTCTCACTGTTCAGCGCATCATATTTTTTACATTTAAACACAAATCAGTGAAGATTCTCAGTCGTCCAGGTCATGGTGATGATAAGTGCTGTATCGTAGGCAACTGGACTTGCTTGAGTTTCTTGAAGATGTTTCATCTCTCATCTCAGAGGCTTCTTCAGATCTAACAGACTGGTGCAGAGTCACAGCCTTTAAACTCTGTGTAGTCGTTGAGGTCACATGTGAGTTGTTGACCCACTTGGCCACCTCATGCGTCAACACCTCCTGATGACAAAGTCAGCTCATGTAGTAGAAACACTTTAGAAACATTGATATGATATGAAAAGTAGAAATGTAACGTAGTCCAGGTTTGTAGAAACGTCAAATGCAAACACCTTCTGCTGAATGTGCAGCTGTGCCACATGAATTTCAGCTGTTATAAATAAATTATTGTGATTGGTTGGCACCTCTCAGGTGACTGAAAATCTGTTCAAAGGGGACAAATCTATCAAATAAAACACGAGCTCAGATTCATCTGACACACAGCGTTAAACACACTCCTGTCTTTTTACATTTAAGCATCCATTTAAATCAGCTGCTTCCAGATTCTGAGCTCTGCTAACTGTTTGTTTTCAGGACGTTGTTCATGTCAGTGAACGTTAGAGGATAAACTGGTGAAACTGCAAACACTCACAGGCAAAGATAAAACAAGTGGCTAAAAGAGTGACACACAGATATCAGGAACATTTCTGCGCAGCGTTTTCTCATGAAGTCGCCTTGTTCTTTGTTTCTGCAGCTGTGACGTGAACCAGCAGTAAGGTGACTCACTGGTCGATCGGTTTTCCAGGTGAAACAAATATGTAAACACTCTGTAGGTGCAGGACGATCTGCTGACTTCACTCACAGTGTTTTTAAAAACATTCCTGATGTTCAGACGAGTCCGTGCAGCAGCTTCAGGTCGACGTCTGTTGAAACATGAAGCAAGAGTTTGTTCTCTGCTGCAGGT